TTTTTTTTTTTTTTTTTCCCCCCCCCCCCCCCCCCCCCCTTAACAACTTGCTTAACTTGCTTATCCTCCGTTCCGATATTATGTGCTGAACGCCCTTTGCATCGATGGTTTTGCTGGTGTCCCGTGCTGAGGGGGTGTTTTGCTAAAAAAAAAAGATCTGGGAAATCAGTCCCTTTCTCCTCTTGCACATGAGCTCGCTTTACAATGACTTCAGATGCTCCCACCTCCCTTCATATATCTGAAGTCGACTCGGCTTTGACCGATCACAACGCGTCCGTGTCGACATCCTCCCATGCGACCCACAACCCCGGATCTCGATTCATTCATCCTCGAAAACGCGAAATGGACGAAAGAGAAGAGCTGGGCCAAGGCCCATCAAATGCGTCTATCGGACAGTTCAGCTTCGCCCCTACTACCAGAACCACAGTAGTGACGACTACTACAACCACAACTACCTCCTTCCCGCCTCTGACAATCAACCCCCCGCGAGCCGTCAAGGATCTGGATGCCCGACAATACCCTCTCGCCTCATCTCCGACCCCAGTGGCTCTAAGAAATCTCAAGTTCAAGATTGGGGACAAGTCAATCATCTTCAACGAGCCCGAGGATACCACAAATGCTGCCACTGAGGTTTGATTTTATCCTATCTTCTCGGTTTCGTTGGTTCCAATGCTTACAGTATAATATATAGTACAAAGAGAAAAGCGAGGCGTTGAAATCTTCAAATGGCCAGATTCGCTCTGTGAACTCGTTCATCTCCGAGGGCGAGAACCCCACTCGGCGGCTGACTCCTCCGAGAATAGCGAGTCAACCTTCTAGTCACCCTTCCAACACTCGCCGTCGTGCCGTCTCTCCCGTCACCCTTTCCGATCCTCGACCCTCGGTTCTCCCGCGAACCCGCCCGTCACGGGTCCCTTCGGAGCCCATCACACGCCGCACTCGCCAAAGTGGCGTGGGACCAACTCATCGTCCCGCTGGTCTTGCCACCCCAGACACTGAAAGCAATTTGGGAGGACCTGGCGAAAATGCGGCCCCAAGACCGAGAATTCACAGCTCGGTGTTTCCGCGCAGGGAACCTCTGCCGTCACCTCTGTCTTCTGAAATCGGAGCCAAAGGCATACAGGCAGCAAATCAAAATTCCTACTTGCACAATGCATTGTCTGGGATTCGTTCAAACCCCGCAACCCAAGAGTCTCAGACCACTGAAGCGGATGAGAGTTGTTCAACTGCAAATGAATCGGCTTCATTTGGTCATGATACGACATATGGAACCCAGGAATCTGCATCGCAAGAAAGACCCGAGCTTATTTCTCAACTATCGGCAATAGACAATGCCATGGCGCAAGACATGTGCCTCCCGAGCCCGAGTCTCTCACCGGTTGCTGCTATGAATGCTCTCCATGGCGAATCCTCCTTCGAGTCAGAAGGGCTTGACGTTGATACAGATTCCAGCCTCGATCATAATGTCTCGCGTTTTTCCAAGGCTTTGCGGCTTCAAGATGCAGATGAGACTCGGGTAAATGGCCATTCTCTCGCAAACTCACGATCACCCTCCTCCCTTTTAGATATGCCGAAGGTGTTGGAGTTCTTTGATTCAGTGCCTGATGAGGTCAAAACGTATCTCATGTACCAATTTCTTCGGAGATGTCCTAAACCTACTCTACACTTCGTGGCCGATGTGGTTAATCCAACTTTGAAGTGCGACTTCCTGACTCTTCTGCCGCTTGAACTCAGTCTCAACATCGTCAAATACCTTGACGTTCGGACTATGTGCCGTGCTGCGCAGGTGTCTAAGAAGTGGAGACACATCACTAATTCTGATGAAAAGAGCTGGAGAACCCTCCTTGACCAGGATGGATATCATCTCTCAGATGGGGAACTAGAACGGGCTATAAGACAGGGATGGGGATGGCAGCTGCCCAGCGGTCCTCATGATCCCGAGGAAGATCTCAGCGTTGTGGCTCTATCCAGGGCGGATATGGAGGCGTCCCCTGTCCCTTCGATGCCGGGTCCCAGCAGCAGAAGCCCTTTGGGGTCTCTGCCAATCAATCGACGAGGCAAGCGGAAAGCAAACACGCGTGCTTCAAGCCGGAAGCTTGCCAAACGGAAGGTCTCATCCAGTGGAGGAGAAATCGCCGATCCAGACTGGAAGAAAGGTATTGCCGCATCAGAGGCCCCATACGCCGCTGCAAACGCTGCAGCTGCGGCAGTCCCTTACGCTGAAGTGGGTCTACCATCTCTTCGAGGGCTGTTCCTATTCAAGGTCCTCTACCGTCGCCACGTTGCCATCCACAAGGGGTGGATGCAACCGGATGTCAAGCCGCAACATATCGCTTTCCGTGCTCATGACCGCCATGTTGTTACTTGCCTGCAATTCGATGCTGAAAAGGTTCTTACTGGAAGCGATGACACGAACATCAACGTGTACGACACTAAAACAGGTGCGTTGAAGGCAACATTGGAAGGCCACGAAGGTGGAGTGTGGGCTCTTGAATACCATGGCAACACGTTGGTCTCCGGTTCGACCGACCGCTCAGTACGAGTCTGGGACATCGAGCGGGCCAGGTGTACTCAGGTCTTCCACGGCCATACCTCTACCGTCCGATGCTTGCAAATTGTCCTACCTACCAAGATAGGTAGGGATGCGGGTGGTCAGCCTGAAATCATGCCTAAAGAACCATTGATCATTACTGGGTCTCGTGACTCGAATCTTCGGGTGTGGAAGCTTCCTAAACCCGATGACCCAGTCTACTATCAGAGTGGTCCTACAGTGGATGACACTAGCTGTCCATATTTCATGCGGGTGCTCTCCGGCCATCAGCACTCTGTTCGTGCAATCGCAGCCCACGGTGATACCCTTGTGAGTGGTAGCTACGATTGCACGGTGAAGGTCTGGAAGATCTCCACCGGACAGACTTTGCACACCTTGCAGGGTCACACGATGAAAGTGTATAGTGTGGTTCTTGACCATAAACGCAATCGTTGCATTAGTGGAGCCATGGACCACATGGTAAAGGTGTGGTCACTAGACGATGGAGCTCCCCTATACAACCTCGAAGGCCACACCTCCCTCGTCGGTCTGCTCGCTTTAGAGCAAGATTTCCTTGTCTCGGCTGCCGCTGATTCCACCCTCCGAATATGGGACTCTGTCCACGGCCACTGCAAGAACACCTTGAGTGCACACACCGGTGCCATCACCTGCTTCCAGCATGATGGGCAGAAGGTCATCTCCGGGTCTGATCGGACGCTGAAGATGTGGGATGTACGAAACGGCGAGTGTGTTCGAGACCTCCTCACAGACCTCACTGGTGTGTGGCAAGTCAAGTTCAATGATCGGAGATGTGTTGCTGCGGTGCAACGTGACAACCTGACTTATATTGAAGTAAGTGATATCCGAGGAGGCTTTCCGATCCTTTATACTAATAATGCTTCCACCCAGGTTCTTGACTTCGGTGCTGCACGGGATGGAGTCCCGGAAAGCAAGCTTGCGAAACGCATTGTCGTCAACCGACGTGGGCAGGAGGTCCTCGGCGGAATTGAAGATGATGACGACTTGTCTGACTGAGATGCCTAGGCCGCATTTTTCTTCTTCGACATCAATCAATATCTCAACACCCGAAAACCATCCTCCTTACACTACTTACTTCTTTTCCTCTGTCTTTTCTTCTCTTCTCACTCTATTCCCCCATTCACGATACCCATCCTTACAGCTCTCGTCTTCCATCGGAACAAATATCCTTTGCATAGCGCGGTCGGCATTCTTTGGTCTTGCAGCATTACGATAAGGGCCAAGGCGTTTTTTCCCCCATATTTTTTTCGATCATCTCTTATGTGGAGCTTTCTATCACTCTGTATTCCGAAATATTTGCCTATCCCCATGCATCCTGTCCTCGATACGTTTTCTTTGTCTTTGCCTGATGCTTATGTGACTTCCCATTCTGTTGCCTGCCAGATCGGTGATTCTTTTACATATTTTTCGTCTTGCTTTGTCCGTATCGGGCTGCCCATAATAGATTGATTACCTATCTTCATTGAAAATTCCGTCCTGAGTTGGGTTGGTGTTTAGGTCTTATTGTAATTGTAATTGATGTAGTCTTCCACCAGCTGCCTCTAGATGGATATATAGTGAAGCAGTCAAATGCTTCGAACATTAACCATGGTTTTGTGTTTGGTGCTTGGCGGTCTAGATATGCTGTCAGAGACCCATGCCAGCTAGTTCAAGATGGCGTATGATAGCTAGGCAAGCCAGACTTGAGCATTGGCTGTCATGCTCAGGAAAAGCAGGGTATCTCAATCCTTGTCCCAGAAAAGGGATGAAGAATGTTCAATCTCATCTCTGGCCCACAACTATGCATGCGCTTAGGGAGGGGCTGATCGGACCTGACTAGCCGCACTAAGGAGTCAAGTCTAAAAACTCGACGAGGATAGTTTCAAATTTGGACAAGACGACATGCCATTTCACGACAAAGTGACCGGCGTCTCTGCGGCAGACGGTATAGCGAGCCGGCTATCCTGCAAGCTCCCATCAATCCCAGCAGCAGACAAAATCGACCAACGAACAGCATCGATCCCCAGCGCCCGGCCAGGACCAATCCGTGCCTCGGCACTACAAGTCAAAATCTCACCCAAAGACCCAGGCCCCTCCGAAGCCCGTGGGTCTGGCTGTACAATGGGTTTGATACCCTGGAGCAAAAGCTGTAACCGCTCGATATTGGCGGGCGTGACCCCGGTCTTTATCTGCTTGAATTGCCTAACGAGGAACTTGTCGATCTTGGATAGAATGATCTGGTGTGGGATTGCGTGGTGTCGGAACAGTCTGAGGATCTCCGCATCTGTTTGCTTGATTCCGTGCGTGCTGTCGATGAGAAGGAATGCGCGACGGAGTCTAGAATATTCTTCGTCGGTCATTGTACATCGTAGTTGGGGAGGTTTGTCTCATGTATTTCATGTTCCGCATGGGACAGCTCATAACTTACTGTTTCCGTCCCTGGAGATACTTCATAATCTCCGCTCCCCACTCGGACCGACTCGCCTTTCCGTATCCAGGCATGTCAAGCAGCACAACCTTCGACTCGCCGCCCTTTGTACCTCCAATCCCGAACGCGTTCATTTCCCTTGTCCGGCCCGGTTTCGATGATGTCCAGCATATCTCCTTCCCCATTATTGCGTTCAGTAGTGAGCTCTTGCCGACATTTGAGCGGCCCAGGAATGCGACTTCGGGCTCGACTGATGCAAATGGTGTCGTGCGGAACTTGGCCGCAGACCAGAGTTTGAGTGGTGAGTGACGTGACGGAGTGAAGACCTTATCGGCGAAGGCTAGTTGCTCATCTTTGGGGGGTCTTGTATCCCAGTAGTAGCAGAGGTCGGACGGCGTGAGGTCTTTGAGTTCGCGCTTTGAATTGGGATTCGAGGCTGAGGATAGGGCTCGTATTGTTGTGTATAATGATATCCTGGACGGAGATTTCCTGCATGCCGGTATCGAGTTCATCATGACTCTGGAATACCCAAAGAAGAGTCGACAAGAAAAAAACAAATAGAAAAAAAAGTAGAGTTGATATCGATTTCTCCAGATCGGCGCACGGGGCAAGTCGCCTGAGCCAAGACCGCATCATCAGCTATCGCATCCAGATAAGACCTTCTCTTTATTCCAACACAGCAGCACACCAGTCAAGATGATCAACGCAGTCCTCGTCTTCAATAATAATGGCCAACCCCGACTGACGAAATTCTACACGCAGCTGGTGAGTTGATCCCCGCCGCACTCGCACCCGCGCAGACAACCCCAACTAACCAGAAACAGGACACGCAAACCCAGCAGTCCCTGATCGCGCAAATATACCGTCTAGTCGCGCAGCGTCCAGCAAGCGCTTGCAACTTCCTACCACTCCCACCTCTCCTCTCGCAAGGCGCCAGCTCCTCCGCCTCCGGACCCTCCGATACCCCCACCCAGATCACATACCGGACCTACGCGACGCTGTCATTCATCATGATCTCTACGTCCACCGAGTCCCCGCTCGCCCTGATCGACCTGATTCAGGTATTTGTCGAGGCGCTGGATCGCATGTTCGAGAATGTCTGCGAGTTGGATCTTATCTTCGGCTATGAGACTCTGCATGCTGTACTCAGTGAGATGATTGTTGGTGGTGTTGTGGTTGAGACGCATATTGAGAAGATTATTGCTGGGGTACGTGCTCAGGAGGGATATTTGGGTAAGAAGAAAGCTGTTCAGGCTGCTAGTACTAGTTTGGGTCGTGGGGCTTTGCCCGGATTGGGGGCGTGGAGGTGATCCATGGAGGCCAGAGGCTTGCTCTTCTGATGACCTGCATATTGATGGATCGGGGATCACTACGTCCTATTTGGTCTATCTAAGGCGTTCTGGTTACGCGTTCTAGACTTGCTTTCGCAGGATTTGGGTGTGGTGTTTTAGACTTTTCGGTTATTGATGCCCTTGAATGATATATTGAGTACATGCTTGTGGATTGTGAATTTTGGTAAAGCCAAATACTCCTATTTTCTTCAATGTATAGACTGGATCTGTGGGCAAGATCGGGCGTGGTCGTCCAGCCATTGTGGTAAGTTGATGCTGAAAAAGGCAAAGGATGTCAGTCTCGAGTGCAAAGCAGTTAGCAAAAGACTCTGTTGGGATGCGCGAATTGCTGAACTAGGAAAAACTCAAGCTTCGGGGAAGAGAACCTGGATTTAGTTCCTGGAGAATCTACACTCCGCGACGAGGGGAGAAAAGCCATCCAAAAAGTCTCACAAATAGCCTCCAAATTCCGGGACCCCACCGTTACGCACGAAGAATAACATCGAGGGGGAGAGTACCTTGAGGATCGAACAAAGGGTGCTGGTGGCCTAGTATACCAGGAGGTTTGACAGAGGGTCTTGTGTTTCCTCAAGCATGAGTTGTCATATTGAATTGTGACTTTAGATGTTCAACAGATGCATCGGGGTCCCATCAGTGTAGCCACCGTCCACGAATCGGGCTCTTTTGGGGAGCAGGCGATTGCAACGAGTGTGTTTGCCCTCTACACACTTTTTATACCCCGGTGTGTTGCATATCGATGAGTTTCAGGGCCATTCGACGGTCTATATCTTAAACGCCGGGGCATAGTGAAAACGATAGGGCAAAAGTTGACGGAGATGGTTCGAGGTAAATTCATATTCGTATCGGCTGTGTACAAGTATTCTTGATTGCGAAAGACATTGACCTGACGTTCTGCTCGCTATCCCTAGAAATTCAGTCAGTAATTCATGAGTAGATATAATGCGATTATTCAACTCACTGCGAGGAATCCTTTTTTGCACCCTCACTACGGGAGCTCCATGGTGAAACAAAAAAAGTGTCGTCGAACGATATACTGTTGCCTAAGCAGTATTTCTGAAATAGGATCTTCGAGCCATTTTGAGACTCTTACAGTGCTTGGTGGCAGGATGCTTATGGGTAAAGCCTCGGAGGCAGCAGAAGCGGATCGGATGGTAAGGTGTTGATAGTGTTGTTGAGGGGACCTTTCGGCACATGCTCATTCCAACCGGATACATTCGTCACATGGTATATAGAACCCAATTTTATCCAGCTGGACCGCAGTTTTCTTTTGCCCGTCTGGATTTCTGGATGTCGCGAGCATTGTTATGGCTGATGGAAAACGGGCGATTAGTAAATCAGAAAGCCTGTTGGGAAGGGTCGCAGAATCGATGCCACTAGACGGACGGCGAAGAAGAATATCCAGACGAGGGATTAAATCCGGCCCCTAGAAAGGAACCTCCAAGCCAGATTGCTCCACTGATCCCGAAGGATCATTTTGTCGTTGACTCCACAGAGAAGCAGTCTTTGCCAGTCCTGGCAAACAGGAGAGCTAGCATTCTGCGGAGGAAAGGCGATAGCGAGCTATCGGAAAGCCTGGGCAGTTTGAGGCGCCGACATTTCATGTACCTCTTTAGATGCGTCAAGAATAAAGTCTCATGCGGTTTCTTTGCGGTTGTCACTCACGCATTGTACGTGGAAGAAGAAATTACATAGGTGCGCTGTTGGTATTGCTCGACTCAGTGCTTGGGCTATAAGAGCGGGTGACCTAGTCGCGTACTGGACAGACCTGCACCAGCTCAATTCCAGGTTCGTGCCCCATGCTCCCCTTTGGGGTATACTCGCAGGGTTTGCTATATTGCGATATAGTATTAGTTTCCAAAGCTCTACAATGCGGCATCAAATTACCACGTACAGATCGATGGACATCGTAAGAGAGTCTTACCGGGTGTGGGCCCTGGAGAAATGCCGCCATGACCAATCCGGAACTTGAGGACAGTAGCGGCGATCTTTCCGCAACCTGTCATTAAAGTGGAAGGCTGTATTTCGACATCATTTCAACATATGCCAATTTTTTTCAAGGGATTCAGGGGAGGGCCACAAGGTCAGGGAAAAAGTTTGATTTCTGTTGTTTATAGGTGATTACAAGATTAATGTGTATATAGCTGAGGAAGTTACGCTCCAGTGCTACTGCCAACCTCAAGAGATGTTTGATGTCATGTGACCACAACCACGTGTCTGCATAAATCTGCCCTAGCGCCTTGCCCTAGCCCTGGTCACGTGAGTGCGCTAGCGTGACCCACAGAAACTTCATAAGTTGCATCCACACGAACTTTTCCCTTTCTCATCCGTCAACCGTCAATCAGCGCAATCCCAGTCGACAAAATGGTGGTGAGTACCCTAAGTGTCTCTTGATAACATCAGAGACTTCTTCTAGTTCCCGCGATGTCTCACGACATTCGCCTTGCTTTAGATCTCTGATCTAAGCAATTCCGCCGATCGCGCACAGCCTCGAAAGAGGATGTGTCGCGCATCGTGTGATGATTTTGGCTGGAAGCATGGAGTCAATGCCTGTAACACGGCTTGGCTCATGTTCTCCTTAGAGTTCAAAGAAGATACAGCAATATGTGAACAGCACGCTGATCTTCTTCCTCAATGATAGCCCCCTGCTAAGTCCGGAAAGAAGACCGCCGCTATGCCCTACCCCCAGGGCAAGGCTGGCAATGGCAAGAAGGCTGCCAAGGTTCGTTTTCTTCCTCCCCCTAGGAGTGCGTAGAGTCCTGAAGACGCTAACTCTTCTTCCACAGAACCCCCTTATCGAGAAGCGCCCTCGCAACTTCGGTATCGGCCAGGACATCCAGCCCCGTCGCGACCTCTCCCGCTTCGTCAAGTGGCCCGAGTATGTCCGTCTTCAGCGCCAGAAGAAGATCCTGAACATGCGCCTGAAGGTTCCTCCTTCCATCGCTCAGTTCGGCGCCACTCTGGACCGCAACACCGCTGCCCAGACCTTCAAGCTCCTCTCCAAGTACCGCCCTGAGACCAAGGCCGAGAAGAAGGAGCGTCTCGTCCAGGAGGCTACCGCCGTCTCTGAGGGCAAGAAGAAGGAGGATGTCTCCAAGAAGCCCTACAACGTCAAGTACGGTCTCAACCACGTCGTTGGCCTCGTTGAGAACAAGAAGGCTTCCCTCGTCCTCATCGCCCACGATGTTGACCCCATTGAGTTGGTTGTCTTCCTCCCCGCTCTCTGCCGCAAGATGGGTGTCCCTTACGCCATTGTCAAGGGCAAGGCCCGTCTCGGCACAGTCGTCCACAAGAAGACCTCTGCCGTTCTCGCTCTGACCGAGACCCGCGCTGAGGACAAGGCCGAGTTCGCCAAGCTCCTCTCCGCCATCAAGGAGGGTTACACCGACAAGCACGAGGACGCCCGCCGCCACTGGGGTGGTGGTATCATGGGCGCCAAGGCCAACGCCCGCATCGAGAAGAAGCAGAAGGCTCTCGCTGCCGCCATCAAGGTTTAAGCTTGTGTAACTACAGCTTTCCTTTGATGCCTGTTTGACGGGATCGTTTTCTAACCAAAGCGCTCGGATCTCAAAAATAATATGTTATGGGAAACAACAAGGTGTTCCAAGGCTTTGACGATCTATTGACGGCCAATTCTTTTAGCTTTAGATGGGTGCGAAGGAGCCCTTTGGCCCTTTTTGGATCCTTTTCTAACAAAAAAGATACATTTTTCTCACGAACCTCCAATGGCCCCATGTACCACTCTTCTGCAGATACCCATGAATGCATTTTTCTACCTGTTCAATTCATTGATGGTCTTTGTAGTCCCATCAGAACTAGGCATTCATGTCGTCTGTTTTGTATTTCGTAGTAAATGATCTTGTGAATTGTACTGTATAATACATATGTAGTCATGAGCAGATGGTTGACAGGTCTCTTGATCGGCAACATTTCGCTCGAGAATTTTATTTTGAGACCTGCCAAGAATACCAAGTCTTTTCTAAGAGATAGTCCCGTCTTGGCACATATTCTTAAAGATCTCTATATACTCCTATCAAACAGTCTTCTATTGAAGAAACGAGCTGTATGGCTGGCGATCGAAGACTTGAGGATACTACAAGGGTGGGCAGGCTGCATAGTAATATATGGGTGAGATTGAGGGGTAATTCCCCTGACATGTATCAATATATGTTGTATGTACATATGTACATATATACAAAGAAATATATCCATATTCCCCCCGCAGGAGACTATCTAAAACTGATTTCCATTGGAATCATACGCATCATGGACCTGCTGGCTGGCCTGGTACTTGGCCTGCTCCGCATCAAGGAAGTCCAATCCCTTGGTCTCAACCTCACGGTCGACAAAGGCACCAGCAAATCCAGCAAGGATTTCCTTGGCCTTTGCGTGGCTGTCAGGTTCGCCTATTACACAAGAAAAATAATTAGCTTTTCCGTACCTCTACGCTTGGCTCTATCTACCGGATGGTCAAAAGAGGGAAGAGGGGAGGAGGTGTATACGTACCGTTCTCAGCGACGTGGTTCTCATAGGCCTTGGCTGCCTCGTAGCTAGCAGCACCGGCGATCAGCTCATGGATTATGGAAGGATCGTGCTCTGTCTGGTCGTTGTAGCTGTTGTAGGCCTGGGCCTGGTCGGAATCATCTAGGTGGATGTGAGTTAGTGGATGGTTGGTATCAAGCAAGTATATAAGGAACACTCACCACTGAACCAGCCCATTTTGAATTGATTTGAATAAGAAAAGTGGGAAGAGAGGATAGAGAAGAGAAGTGAGATGAGAGGAAGAGGGGTAGTCTAGTGGGCTTTTATATTCTTCCACTAGTGCCACTTCATCATTTACGGTCACATCATGGAGGGGCAGATATGTTCAGACCAGCCACAGAAGGCGACTCTGACTTTAGTCTGCATAGAGCTGACATACATGTAAAACAATCTCCGTCCAGGAGAAATACATAGCAAGATAGTAATAACAAACGGGTTTAACCCTCATCAACCAATACCAGGCACCAATAGTCATGAGCAGAATAAGAGAGGACAAGGCTGGTATGATGAAATTACAGAAAGATCCAGAGGTCCATGGCCAAAGCATAAGAGAAAAAAGTACAAAGAAACCCAAAAGCCCAGCCCTATGCTCCCAGAAGACCGGAGATGCTCACCACCGTCTTTTTGTAATATGAATGATGACACTGAGAGACCCTGTCTAAAGACACAAGTTGAAGCAAAAGAAAGCGAAGGTGTATAGTATGAAGAAGGACGAGACATAAACATGATCGCGGTCATTTGGTCATTAACGTTGAGGTCGTGAAAGCCCTTGGCGTACCTTTATCCTTGTTAGTTCAGACATACGTATTCGGATAAACAATCACTCACCTTCATCTGTTCAATCCTTGCCTTCAGTTGGCTGGTGACTTCCGCGGCTCGCTTCCAGTTTTCTGCCGGTTCAGAAGATCTGGGCTGCTGCTGGTCGTCTTCGGTGAAATTTGTGTTGGAGTTTCGGGCGGGTGAGCGCGTCGGGCTACCAACGGCCGAGTAACCGTATGTAGGGCTCAAGTTGCGTCGGCCTAGGCCACCATTGCGACTGCTGGGTCCTGGTGATTCCATGCCGTTGCTCTCCCTCTCCTCACTGGGAGTAGCAGAGGCGTAGCTTCGAGGACGCGAGCTTTCGAAGCGGGATCCCATGTGAAGACCGGATCGTGAAGCAGCATTGCTGTTGGCGATGTGGTCTTGATACATGGAGTTTGTATCTGGCACCCCCATGCTTCCTGCATCGGAGGCAGCATTAGGTGGGCTTATGGCAGCCGCGCGAAGTGCTCGTGCGAGTTCGCGCTTCAATCTTTCGATCTCTCTCTGCTGTTTTTGAACACTTCCCTCCGCGGTTTCTGCGTCACTCCGTGCGCGAACAAGTTGAGTCTCTTTCGCCTTGATGCTCAAGACATCGCGGGTGTGGTCCTCAATCAACTGTGCATTCTGGTTCTGAAGTTCAGTGATCGTTGAGTTGAGCCTTGAACGCTCGGACTTCATCTCTTCCATGGTTCGGTTGAATTTTTCCTTCTCCGCCCGTAATGCCTCTAACTCAGCACGCTCGGCGGCTGCCATAGCATTGGCAGCAGGTGAAGGGGCAGGAGCAGGGGCAGGTTCAGCAGGCGCCGACGGTCTGGCAATGGGCCGACCCGCAAGGCCACGACCAAGACCGAACTTCGGAGCGGCTGGCGGGGGAGCCACATCCTCTTCTGGGGGTGCCGCAACTCGTCTTGACGGCGACGCAGTGGTTCCGGGCCCAGCAAGCTTCCGTTGCAGCTTGAGACCTGATCCAGGAGTTGGAAGGCCACCGGGCTTCGGAGCACCGAGCTTTGAAGGGATTCCTCTGGCTGCAGGCTTGGCCGGGGATTCTTCTGGGGCAGGTGGAGCGGCTACAGGGGCTAGTTTTTTCAGTCCCATTGCTGGCTTCTTGCTAACGACCTTCCTGCCAGCCGGGGCAGCGGGCTTTGGGGGTGCCACAATAGGCTTGGGTCGCTCCTTGGCCTTGACTTCAGCAGTTCCGAAATACTCTTTGATTTTGGTTTTGCGAATCTCGTCAAGTCCATCGAGATACGGGTTCATGGCACGTTCGCCCAGAATCTTCATTAATGTACCCAGAATTTCAGCAGCTCCTTCGCGGATTGCCGGGGCTGACTCGGTCAATAGCTTTATGCTGGCATCAGCGATCGCTTTCTGCTCTGGCTTGGCTGGTACCGTCCGGGTTGTGCGCAAGCAACGAACCAAGAACTTGACAGTTTCCTGCTTGACCTGTGGGTTCTTGTGCTTGAGATACTCAAAGATTTCTTCCAAGCAGTCCGTAAGGGTTGTCGTTGTGAAGACAGCATCCAACGCCTGGCCCAAAGCATCTGCGACAGTCGTCTTCTTTTCTTTCAAACGTTCAAACATGGGCGCCATAATGACGCCTCGGTATTTAGCAAAACCGTTGCGAAGGCCCTTGGCCAACACGTCCACACAGTTCGCAGCTACCGTGACGACAGCGACGTTGGCGTCCTTCATGGATTTGGCAAATCCCCTCACTATCTCATCGTAGGGTCCGTCTTTGATTCGGGGGACGTTGATAACATTATAGAGAGCATCCAATGCTTCCTTGCGGTCCTTCCATTTTGACGAGGCCAATTGTTCATGGAAGTCTGCAGGGATTTTCTTGAAGACATCAACTGGTTCCGCCAGGTCGAAGGCATCGACCACCACTCCATCCTCCTCCTCATCAAACTCGTCGCCAACTGGTTCGTCACCCTCCTCGCCTGCCGGTGCCGCGCTGGCCGTGGCCATGGCATCCTGTTGTGTTCGAGTGAATCGTTCTTGCTTTGGTGTGGGATCCTGCTTCACAGTTTCGAATAGTTTTTCTAAATCTCCCTGTTGCACAGGTTTCAAATCAGCCCAGAATAGAGGCTTGATGGCCTCCCGAAGCCACCGATACAGTTCCACGGTCAGGTTTTGTGCTTCTGCGCGGACATTTTTATCGGCATGACCAAAAACCTTGGGAAGCGCCTTCAAAGTTTGCTTCGGGTCGACGATCTTGCAGCCGAAGTTGTGATAAATGAGGGTCAAGGCGGCGAGAGAGGCAGCGACCACCTTGGGTACTTTGTGTGATAGTATGGGAAGCAGCTCCTCGACCACCGGATCAGCCTTATCCAATTCGACACATAATAAAAGAGCTTCCTGGGCGCTAGCTTTACCGGCCGGCCGTGTAGATGGGAGACCTTTCTCGGCAATTGGGCCAATTGTATATGAGCGGGACCTATAAATGGGAAATTTGTCAGTGGATTCAGGGTGGATCAAGAGACTGTCGCGACTGGGACCGGGGGTTGACGCACCTCGTGCAGGCCTGGGCTCCTCCGAATTTCAAAAAGGTGCAGTACGCTGCAAGACCTTCAGACTGTGCGGCGACATTGGAATCTGCAACTGCCCCTTTCCACAGGCTGGGATCTTGTATGAAAGGCACGAAGACTGGGTGTGATTCATCTGGAGTCTTTTCAAATTGCGCTTTTGCATCCTCGTATCCCTCCTTTCGGACTTTCCAGTTCTGCAGATCGGAGTTAGAGCCTCAGCGATCCTATTGATCGGACTTGTGATGCAGGAATGAGCGCACCTTGTGAGCGAACCGGTCGGGCAAGGGTAAGGAGGAGAAGTCCTCTGTGGCTTCAGCCATTCTGATGGGCGAAGGACGGGAACTATCAACGGATTCTAGGAAGGAAAGGGGTCAGCACGTTCTGCAGTGACCGATCAGAAGTGCGCATGGCATGAGAGAAGATTCCGGAGAAAGAGATAAAAGGTCCGAGTTGGTGTTGCGGGGGTTTCTCTCGGGGTGTCTCGGGGTTCATATGGTCGTACTGTGTTGGGTTGATGCCCAAAGGGTATCAAAGACAGAATCAATAAAACAATGACTAGAACATGAAATGTCTAAGTCAAAGTGTCAAACTGTATAATGACGTGGACATAGGTCGAAACACACTGGGGTTAAAGAAAATAAACACTTGAAGTTGAAGGAAAGTAAACAAAAGCCTTGGCGGAGATTGTTTTGTTTAAACCCCCCCCCGCGGTGGACCTCAACTTCTTCATATTTATCTTCTCTTCTCTCTTTCAATTTCTTTCTGGATCAATTCCCCAATTCGCCAATTCGCAAGCTCTTCAATTCCAAACTCCCCCAACTCCCCTTTCTTCGCCGACGTCGCTCCCACTTTCCCCTCCATCGCAGTTTTCAGAACCAATTTGGTGCGCATTTGGATAGGGGAGAACAGAGAGCATATAACACCATGAGCCAACTTCTCACGTCGCGGCAGGCGGAGGAGCTGTATGTGACCCGATATGGTTCATTTAGGGGTGATCGCTGATGGTGTTTGCGACAGACATAAAGGAATCATCGCCTACCTCACCTCTGTGAATTTACACCACAGCTCCGCCGCTTTACGAGAAGAACTAGGAGACTCGATCAGAGTCGACGATACCACACTAAAGAAATATGAAGGCCTCTTGGAGAAGAAATGGACGAGTGTAGTCCGGTTACAGAAAAAGGTGCGAAGACCGAGCGTACCACAAGCCTTCCTGTTGTTAACCCGTTATTCTGTATAGATTATGGACTTGGAAGCACGATGCGCTTCACTCCAGTCTGAGCTGGATACCGCAACCCCGACCTCTCTGAATCGCAAAAACCAAGACCCAGTCTCCTGGCTGCCTCGCGCACCAGCGCGCCATGACCTCGAATCGCACCGCTCGCCAGTATCGTGCCTCGCTTTCCATCCAATATTCTCTTCATTGGCCTCCGGCTCAGATGACACCACAATCAAGATCTGGGACTGGGAATTGGGCGAACTAGAACGCACAATCAAAGGACATACCAGGGCAGTGTTAGACGTCGACTATGGAGGCCCGCGCGGAGGCACACTTCTTGCATCATGCTCGTCAGACCTGACAATCAAATTGTGGGACCCGGCTGACGAGTATAAGAACATCAGAACGCTACCAGGGCACGATCACAGCGTTTCAGCAGTTCGGTTCATTCCATCCGGAGCTGCAGGGTCTCCCATGTCAGGAAATCTGCTTGTCTCAGCTTCTCGCGATCTCACACTGCGCATATGGGACGTCACAACCGGATATTGTGTCAAATCCATGCAGGGCCATGGAGACTGGATTCGAGATGTTACACCCTCCCCAGACGGCCGGTTCCTCTTCTCCGGTGGAGATGACCGAGTTGCACGTCTGTGGGATATCTCATCTGGTGATACAAAATCAACATTCCTAGGTCACGAGCATTATATTGAGTGTGTGGCCTTCGCTCCGCCAACAAGCTACCCTCACTTCGCAGCTCTTGCGGGGCTAAAGAAGCCACCACCAGCATCATCGCCCGCTGAGTTTGTGGCCACCGGTTCTCGCGATAAGACCATCCGTCTCTGGGATACCCGCGGAAACTGCATCAAGACCCTTGTCGGCCACGACAACTGGGTCCGCTCATTGGTCTTCCATCCTGGTGGGAAGTATCTTCTCTCAGTATCTGACGACAAGACCTTGCGGTGCTGGGATCTCACGCAAGAATGCAAGTGTGTGCGCACGATCGTGGCACACGGCCACTTTATCAGTTCGCTTCGGTGGGCGCCGCCTTTAGTTAAGGATGCTGGTGCAAATGAGGGTGCGAATGGTACCGAGGTTGCGTCTAATGGAGCGAAAGAAGACCCTAATGCGACAAAGATGTCCATTCGATGTGTCCTGGCGACTGGAAGTGTTGATCTCAAGGTCCGGGTCTTCGCGGCATGACCTTCGATTTAAGTTAGCCCCGAACGAGGAGCAATGGGAAAGAAGACAAGGGAGCAACACCGAAAACTTGAGATAAATAACCCCCCATTGCCAATTCATTGGGGGAGCACTGCGTCTCTCACCGGGGTCGACTTCTAAGTTGAAGGGTTGGGAATTTGACGGGCACAGTTTGCCGTTTCTGGGTAAAGGAGTTGGTTATTCTTCCATGATACCAGTGACTTTCTTTTCTGTTTACAAATGGTTAGGGCATTTAGCCAAACTCATGTTTACGATATACACTGTTGGTGATTTTGTATTTTGATATTGATGGTTCCTCTCTTCCCTTTCTCATACATACTTTAGACATACTTTTACTTGGAAGATCCGTCACATGAATACAACATATCACAATGCCAATGAAAATAGATTGAAGCGGTATAATACAGTACATAACCTCCAATATGCAACACCACAGAGGCCAAAGGACAAATCCAACAGTTCAAATACTGAAGCCTGTCCCAAAAAGAGCTAAACGTGCACTTCTTCAGTAAAAGCCAACAGCTCAGTGCTCAGCCTCTTTCACTCTCTCCTGCATAATCCTCTCACCCTCCGCGACTCTTTCCTGCACAATCTTCTTAACCTTCCCAACCCGCTCATTCTCCGCATGAATGCGATGAATCAACTGCGCAGTAGAGAGCACCTCCCCCTTGGGAACAGGTACACCCGCCTTAGCCGCCTCCTGCACAAGATCCACCTCGCGACCAAGTCGTTTCGATTCACGACGCAGATACTTGGCCGCCCAGCGCTTCTCACGCTCAGCCTCACGTTCCTCCTTCGACAACACAGCAGGACGGTCTGCAATGGCCTGGCCAAAAGGTGTGATGATGCGCTCGACAACGTGGTGCACGTTTCGGCTCTTGGGCGCGCCGGACGAGAACTCGATTATGTCGCCTTGGCGCAGGGAGTTGCGTGGGTCGGAGACTAGGTAGTGCGTTTCCTGTGGGTAGAACTTGCGGATGTGTCGGTCCCAGAATGTGTGGCGGTGGCAGACGCGCACTGTGCGGTCCATGCGGCCGACGGAGACTACGGTGCCGGTTTTCAGGGCAGAGGCGTAGTTGCGCAGTCGGGAGGGCGCTTGTGTTTCTGTGCCGGTGGTCTTGGGCTGTGTGGGGGTTGGGGTGGTTGTTGAGGCATTGCGGAGGGGCGTGGCGAGGTACGTGGTTGATTGGAGGATTGAGGGGCGTGTCAGGGACAGAGGTGTGGTGATTGAGGCTCGGAGAGGCATTGTTGCCCGGAGGAGGTGGCTTGGTGCCATTGTTGGTGGGGCAGCAGGGGGTTGCTCTTCCAATTGTAGTTGGGCGGGATTGGAGAAGACGAGGGATTAGAGGTGGTCAAGCAGGTAGGTGGTTTGTGGTAATCACCGCCCAAATGGTTGCGAGCTTGCGGTGTTCGCAGTTGAGGATTTCAAGAATTTCTCGGGGAAGCATGTTTGCACCGTTTGCACTCTAGTATAAAGTACCGACTTGGATGGACTCAGGAGTAACTGGGCGCGTTGATAGCAGAATCCTCATATTTAAGTATAGATTGCATCTGAACTTCTTATTGTTTGTTCAAGTCTCTATGTAGAGTGTCAATCCATCTAAGCAGATTTCACAACCTTGGAACTCCGTTTCAACCGCTACTCGGATAGCCCTTTAGGATCATCACGACAATGCGGCTTTTCGCCGAACCGCCCTAGAGTTATTATATCATATTATATCACTGACTGCTTTATAAAAATTAACTAGTTACATGCTCAGGATTATTAATTGTAGGATAATCCATCCAGGGATGGATACTAGAGTACACATGGATGTAGTTCGTGTCATCCTTCCCTCGTCAATCCATGGCCACTTTGAAGCCATTTATCAAAAGACCATAGACGTCATATTTCCCACCAACTTGGGGGAGCTATTAATCCGGGTTGGGATCCGACTATTCTATGCTCTAGAAGGAAACCAACCTGTATACAGAAATCGAAATTTGGAAAACGTAGAAAGAAAAAGCGGAAACAAACAAGAAACCTCTAAGAAAATACATTCGCCTCATCCATGTTCGTGAAGGCCATCTAAGTTTCATTTGAAGAGACCCGTTCCGAAAGCAGGAAACCGGGAAAAACATGTCTCGGAAGAGAAACGTCAAATTTATTACGCGTCTTGTCTCGTGGATGGCACATCGCTTTCGTTTGAATCCGCTTCCGCCAATTTCTTGGCTTGGAATTTATCGGCAGAGTGAGCTGATATCCGGGTGAGTTCGGTGACGAAGGATTGGCCCCAGAATGCGCTAGAAAATGGTCAGTCGGAAACTAAATACGAAAAAAAAGACATGGCCTGGTTGGCAGGGTGACGGGGAAACGTACCTGGTGTACTTCGACACGTATCTGTCGAGCTTGGCAAAATTGAGCGCCCTCTGTTCGTCGCTCATGGTCACGGCTTCTTGGTAGGCGCCTGCCAGTTCTTCGGTATTCCAGGGGTTCACGATGATGCTGCCGTTCAGACTCTGGGCTGCTCCGGCGAATTCAGAAAGCACCAATACTCCGTGGCGTTTCTGTTGGGTGGCGATGTACTCGTAGGCCACCAGGTTCATGCCGTCACGGGTAGATGAGACAATGCAGGCATCTGATACGGCGTAGAGAGCGATGAGTTCGTCGAAGTTGACGGACTTGTGCAGGAAGTGAATAGGCTGGAACTCAACCGTACCTTGAAAGACTATTAGCCTCGTTCAGAACACTCAGCGACAATACGTACCGAACTTTCCATTGATCCGACCAACCAGTTCGTTCACCACGGCCCTCAAATTCTGGTACTCCTCGACATCCTGTCGACTTGGCACGGCAACTTGTACAAGCACGACCTTCCCGACCCATTCTGGGTGGTCGCTGAGGAACACTTCGAGCGCGTGCAACTTCTGGGGCACGCCCTTGATGTAATCAAGACGGTCAACGCCGACCATCAGCTTCACACCCTGGAACTTCTGCTCTAGCATGGCAATGCGCTTCTGGACCTTCTCCTTCTTCAATCCTTCCTTGAACTTCTCAGGGTCAATACCAATGGGGAAAGCTCCGCATGTGATAATCTTGCCCTGGAACTCAATGCCGTTGGGCGTAGTTGCAAGACCCCTAATATGATTAGATATAAACTCCAGCCCGCGGGGCATACTCACAGTAGACGCGAGCAACTGCTCAGGAAATGGCGCGTGTAATCATAAGTGTGGAAGCCAATCAGGTCGCAATGCAGGACACCCAAGAGCAGTTCATTCCGCACGGGAAGGATTCGGTAGATCTCGCTGCTAGGGAATGGTGTATGTAAAAAGAAACCGATCTTCACGTTCTTCTTGCTGTCGCCGATCTCCTCGCGGAGCATCTCCGGAAGCAGCATCAGGTGGTAGTCGTGAACCCAAATCAGGTCGCCATCCTGTACTTCCTTCGCAATAGCCTTTGCGAAAAGACGATTCGCTTCCTTGTAAGCTTCCCAGGCGGACTCGTCGAAGGTGATCTCGCCAGGGTGGTAATGGAACAGAGGCCAGAGGATGGAGTCTATGCGAAAGAACGAAGTATTAGTGTACATTCAAAGGGTTCCGCGGGGGGAGGGGGGGCAACTGACTGGAGAACCCATTGTAGTGTCGATCTGCCAGATCATCATCAATGAAGACAGGTACAGCGCCGTATTCTTCCTTGAGGCGCTGCTTGACGACGGGGATCTCAGGCTCGGGAACCTCCAGACCGGGCCAGCCGTACCACTGGAAGGTGGTTGATTTTGAGAGGCCACTCAGACCACTGACCAGACCCCCTGAAGACATTGAGAAATCATATTTTCCATCATCAGATCGCTTGATTGTGATCGGCAGACGGTTAGAGACCAGAAGCAGGCGAGCTTCATTCTTAGCCTCTATGGAAGGCATGGTGACGGATCGGATGCCGGAGGAAAAAGGAGGATGAGATTATATGGATTAGAATAAGGGCTTTGAGTGTAGGCAAGGCAAGCTGGACTCCTATAGTTCCGAGAACATGCGATTAGAGTCAATTTCGTAGATGGGGAAACCCTTGGAGATCATGACGATTATGAACCAACCTTTGGAATAAGTGGATATTCACTCCGAATGAGCACCAGACTAGCAATCTATCTCCATAGGTAGATACCTGCGAGCAGTAATACCAAATTAAAAAAAAGTCGAGTGTGTCGAGAGTAAAAAAGGGTGAAAGGTGAGAGAGCAAAGCGGGGGACCGGAATGCGAACGTCACTCTTCCTGGAATTGTTGGAACTACCGGTGGGCCTCAATATCGCTCACATGGGGGACTGTAGAACAAGTAGAAAATGTAGAAGAAGCAAGGAAGAGTGTTTCTTTCTTCTATTTCCATGCAATTTGGATTTAAGAGAGAGATGTCGTCAGATCTTTTCCTAGACAGGTTTTGGTCATTCTGACTCTGCATCTGTACGTCAGATCGTGCAACATCCATAGCCAGTCAGATGATCAAAGCACGGCTAAGATGGATGTTATAAGATATCATTTTGGGATGTCTTTTGGGATATCTTCTCCAAATCTTCTTAGATGTCCTTCAACTTTCCCGGTTTTATAGCTAGAAAGATGAAAAGGCGGTAAAACGTACAGTCCACGTCTCTATGTATAACCAGGGATCTATACAACTCACAAAGCTGACCTCTCACTCGCAAGACTCCATTTCCCCGAATCCGACTCATGAACCGTGCGCCCCTCATCCTCAAGCTTCATCAACACCTGCAGCACACCATACGAAGCAGGTAAATGCAAAGACTCCGGGACATCGCGGTAAATGCACTTGACCAACTCAATGGGCGTCCACGCCTGCTTGTGCTCCGGCGAGGACTCGCCAGCTGCGACATCGAGCTTTCCAAATCGTAGCACGCGCAGGACCTCGTCTTCCCGCTGCTGTCGGTGCTTGATGTACTCGGTGATCCGCGCGCCGGCATTCTCGATCACCGCCCCGTGTCCGGGGTACCCCCGGCCCGAGGAGACGCGGTCGCGCATCCGGTGCAGGCTGCTGAGGTAGGTTTTGAGGTCTTCGAAGACGGCTGTGCCGTGGCCTAGGACATCTGTACCTTTTGGGTCAGATATGGTTTTCGAAGGACATTGTATGTCATGTTGTATCGGTGGAAGGGAACGGTTGGATTAAAAGACCGCACTTACTATCACCCGTGAACATAGCATTCTCCTCCTCGAGCATAAATACCATATGATCAACGGTATGCCCAGGCGTATGGAATGCCGTCAAGGTAGCACCTTCAACGGAGAATACCTGACCCTCATGGATATCCGTCTGAGTGGACTCAGGCTGGTGTTTGAAGATCTGAGCCTGAGGACAGAGCTTGAGCAGATCTGGTAAACCACTGACATGGTCGCCGTGCCAGTGTGTCAGGAGAGCTTGGTGTACTGTTGCCTTTTCTTGTGAAAGCACGGATTGAAGGCTTGCTGCCCATGCGGGCATGCCTTCGCCTGTGTCTATTAAGATTCGCTGGTGGCCGCGGCCAATTAAGTATGTGTTTGTGCCTGGATGTATGGTTAGAGTGTGATCTGAGTTGGGATGGAGTGTGATGCTTACCTTGTAGTGTGAACTGTATTGCGAAGCGTGCTATTGATTAGTTTGTCGTGCTATAGTAAGATCATGGCATTTATGCACTCACCTTCCCCGGATTTCCGCCTAGAATCCTCACGACTGACGCGCTGAGGCGCTCCACTTCTGGGAGTTGGACTAGCTGGGTCGCCATATTTCGAGATAGGGTGGGGACAGCAGATGGAAAGTAGGATTGTCAACAACCTGGTCCTTATATATGAGTCCAGAAGTGCAAATCAGTGGTCAACTGGTGGCTGATTTATCATTCAAGATGCTGTAGGCTTGTTCGGTGCGGTTGGATGATTTGTAATGAGATGTACAGGTGAACTTCAGAAAATATCGAAGCGCTAAACTTGCTGGACCATATGACGGAATAAGATGATCTGATGGTGTCCAAGTCAACCTTATACTGAAGTCCAACGAACGCGGGGCAGAAATTGTGCCTCGGTAGCTTATCTCAGCTCTGGATGTGTCCGAGGTGTCTACATACATGTAAGTATGGATGTATCATGCCGAACATCGTCGCAATTTGTATATGAATCTACGATCTACGAAAGGACCGATTTGAAAACAAAAAGAAATTGTGTATGCATGCCATTCCTAACATACAAAAACAGTGATGTAAAAATCAAAAAGAGTATATCCATTGAGCCCACCCAGATATCGGGAATCAACGCAAGGCCGAGAAAATCAGGCCTACTAAAACACAAGTTCATTCATAAAGTTTTCCCAAGAGCGCAACTCCTCGTATCCTGCTCGCGAAAGGGAGATGGGCAATAGACAACCAATTCAATGGTTGCCGTGTCACACCGTGGTTTTCAGAAGCACATATCTGAATTGTTGAACACACAAGAGAGCGTAGTTTACACGGGTGTCTCGGTTATAACCGAAACACTTGAAGATTTTATTGTTGGAGAGTCATGACGGAAGAAAGGCAGTTTAAGCCTTGCGGGCCATGGTGTTGAGGGCAGAGCCGTCGTGGAACCACTCAATCTGGGACTCGTTGAAAGTGTGGCTGAGGGAGATGTCGAAGGCGGCACCACCGTCCTTGGGGTGGACACGGAGGGTCATGGGCTTGCCAACCTGGAGCTGAGTGCAGAGAAGGTCGACCTTGTCCTCGGGGTTGATCTTGTCGTAGTCGGCGGGATCGCTGAAGGTGAGAGGGAGCATACCCTGCTTCTTCAAGTTGGTCTCGTGGATACGAGCGAAGGAGCGGGTGATGATGGCGAGACCACCGAGGTGACGGGGCTCAAGGGCGGCGTGCTCACGGGAAGAGCCCTCACCGTAGTTCCAGTCACCAATGACAACCCACTTGACACCACGAGCCTTGTAGTCACGGGCAGTGGCGGGGACGGCGTCGTACTCCTTGGTGAAGTAGTTCTTGACCTTGTTGGCCTCACCGTTCTCCTCGTTGGTAGCACCGATCAACATGTTGTTGGAGATGTTGTCCAAGTGGCCACGGTACTTCAACCAAGGACCAGCCATGGAGATGTGGTCAGTGGTGGTCTTGCCCTTGCACTTGATCAGAATGGGGATGTCGGTGGCATCCTTGCCATCCCAGGCTTGGAAGCCCTCGAGGATCTGAAGACGATCGGAGGTGGGGGAGACAGCGACGCTGACCTTGGAGCGATCAGCGGGGGGAGCCTGGTAGGTGTCACGGCCAGCATCGTAGCCGCGAGTGGGAAGACCGTCACCGGAGGGAGGCTTGAGCTTGAACTCCTTGCCATCCTTGTCCTTAAGGGTGTCGGTGATGGGGTTGAAGTTGAGAGTACCGGCAACGGTCATAGCGACGACCAGGTCGGGAGAGGCAACGAACGCGTGGGTGGCAGGGTTGGCGTCATTACGGCCAGTGAAGTTACGGTTGTAGGAGGAGATGATGGAGTTGGCCTCACCCTTCTTCACGTCCTTGCGGTCCCACTGACCAATGCAGGGTCCGCAGGCGTTGGCAAGGATGACACCGCCGTACTCCTCGAGGGTCTGGAGCTGACCGTCACGCTCGATAGTAGCGCGAATCTGCTCGGAACCAGGGGTGATGGTGAACAGAGACTTGGACTTGATACCGTGGTCAAGAGCGTCACGGGCGATGGAAGCAGCGCGGGACATATCCTCGTAGGAGGAGTTGGTGCAAGAGCCGATCAGACCGACCTTGAGCTCCTCGGGCCACTTGTTGGTCTTAACAGCCTCCTTGAACTGGGAGAGGGGAGTGGCGAGATCGGGAGTGAAGGGACCGTTAATGTGGGGCTCGAGCTCATCGAGGTTGATCTCAACGAGCTGATCGTACTGAGCACCCTCATCCTCACGGAGGGAAGCAGCGTACTCGCGAGAGAAGTCACCAATGTGCTGACGCTTGGTGGCCTTCAGGTAGTCGTACATGCGGTCGTTGAAGGGGAAGATGGAGGTGGTAGCACCAATCTCGGCACCCATGTTGCAGATGGTACCCATACCAGTGCAGGACAGGGACTCAACACCGGGACCGTGGTATTCGATGATGGCACCGGTACCACCCTTGACGGTGAGGAGACCGGCGACCTTCAGGATGATATCCTTAGGTGTTGTCCAGCCAGACATCTTACCAGTGAGACGGACACCAATGACGTTAGGGGCCTTCAGCTCCCAGGGGAGACCAGCCATAACATCGACGGCATCAGCACCACCGACACCAATGGCGGCGGTAGCGAGACCGCCAGCGTTGGGGGTGTGAGAGTCAGTACCGATGATCAGACCACCGGGGAAAGCGTAGTTCTCAAGAACGATCTGGTGAATGATACCGGAACCGGGCTTCCAGAAACCGATGTTGTACTTGGCGGTAGAGGAGGCAAGGAAGTCGTAGACCTCCTTGTTGATGTCGTTGGCGCGGGCAAGATCCTTCTCACCTCCAACCTGGGCCTCAATCAAGTGGTCACAGTGGACAGTGGTGGGGGTCTGGACGCGGTCCATGCCAGCAGACATGAACTGCAGAATAGCCATCTGGGCAGTGGCATCTTGACAAGCAACACGGTCGGGGCGCAGCTTCAGGTAAGAGACACCACGCTGGATGTCCTGGCCGTGGGGGTCGTCAAGGTGAGAGTACAGGACCTTCTCGGAGTAAGTGAGAGGACGCTGCAGACGGGAACGGACGATGTCGAGGTTCTCAGACATCTTCTTGTAGTTGATGTAGTGACCCTGAGATGTAATACGTCAGTCGCTATTGCTTGAAATTGTACTCCACGCCCCGGTTCTCGAGCGCTAGACTGGCAGCCACTCACAGTTTCCTGGTTGGTCATCTCGACCTTCTTGTCGAGGGGGTCATTGACGGTAGCGAAGGCCCGGGTTCTGGCAAGCTATACATTGAGAAGTCAGTAACTGCAGGTCTAAGCTATGTCTGAGCTATCATGCACGCCGGCATATGTGCCACGCCACGTGTAGTTGAAGCTTGGCAATAAGGTCGCTGCTTACAAGACGGAACTTGGGGGCCTAAAGTCGAGACGTAAGTTAGTTTTCCATTCATCAAAGAGTGAGACTGGCACTCAGATAGATCGCCATGTGGCAACAATGAGCCGAGGGAGAGACGTACCAGCGCACCGGCGCGCGCAAGGCGGGTGGAGATCATGATGGAAGCTCTATGAGATGGGATTGCACATCCAAGAGCTAGTAACCACCTTCACCAGAGTATGTATGAGAGTGGAGAGTAGAATGAGAGAGGAAGAGATCAAAAAGGAAGAAGAGGACGAAAGCTTGGTTTTGAGTGGGAGAAAGATTCTACGGGGACCGGGAGTATGGCCGTAACCGCTGTTACCACGGCGATACAATACGCTGGTATTGGACTAAGCCCGCCGCATGCGACGGCAAGAAGGGCTGGGCAATTTGATAGACGCTGCTTTTGGCCGAGAATTCTCAAAATTTACTCGAGGTTTACCAAGATAGATGATGAGTTGTAAGAGGAATATAACCCGATTCTTTTTCTATCCCTGTTCTCTTCCCATGTGAACTTCCAATATTCAACATCTGTGGCCTTTGTGTTCACCTTGGGATGTACCGGGAACGTAACACCGATACAAGGCATGTGACGGGTATAACTCGGCCACCAATCACGGAGTTTCCAATTACACGACCCCTTTCGCCCAGTTCTCCCATTTCGGACCAAAGGGCTGACCTTGAAAAGGTCAATGTGTTTTCATGTAACTTTCTGGGGGCCTGTACCCCGTGCTACTGTCAAAGGGCAGCTTGCGGCATGTGGATTTGATGGGTCTCGTAAGTATGAACCCGGCCAATGGTCAACATGTGTTTTCTATAACTATCAAGTTCACGATACTATGATGTAATGCTCTATAACCAGAGTGCTTTTAAACAGTATTTCCATCATTAGATTCTAAATACACTGTATCCTACACCCTGCATCTACTTTTCATATATGTAGGACACTCGAAATTTGTATTGAACTTGAATTAGATCGCCGGAGCAACATACCGCATGCAAACGTCATTAAATACATGGGTGTACGGTGACGAAATCGAACTGAGCCGAGGTGAGCCGAATGGCAATCCCGCATCGCCGCCAAGGTGCCGTGTCTGATCACCAGCCAATCACAGCTCAGGCGTTTCAATCGCTGCCCGTGGCCCACAATCGGCGGAAATTTCATCTCAAACACTCGCTATTGTCTATAGCCTCTTTGACCCGCTTTCCTTCCCCTTCACTCCGGAAATCGGTGATAATCAATTTTCATTCCCTTGCATCTATTTTGATACCGTTGCTCGGCTCCAGCTCCGAGGTATTTCGGCTATCAGTAACAATGGGTGCTCTCAGAAAAGTGAAGAACAAGCGCCGCACCAGGTACGTCTACCCTAGGGGTTATACCTGTACCTATTGTTGGCGCTGATTGCTAACACACTCACAGAGACTACGATCAAGTCGTCGCGGATATCAAAACTCCCCGTCACCTCCAGAAGTACAAGGACTCGAAGGATGTGGAGGATCTGCCTGGTCTAGGCAAGTTCTACTGCACAGAGTGCTCCAAATGGTTTGAGAGCGACTACAACCTCAAGGCCCATACCAAGGGCAAGAACCACAAGCGGAGGTGAGTGTGTTCCGACACCTTGTCTTCTGTCGCATTCCCTGACCAGCTACGCCTTCTTTAGACTTCGTATCCTGCGCGAGGAGCCTCACAGCCAATTGCTTGCCGAACGTGCGATCGGACTGGGTCTCGTCGACAACGGCAAGCGCGAAGAGAACCCCGATGAGATGAAGGAGTGAATCGAAGCTTGAGCTTCGTCTTCTGGGATAAAATCAGACCTTTGCTACGCGACCACGATCCTCTTTCCAGCAAATCGACATACAAAAGTTTCTAGGACAATACATCCAGACCTGTTCTGATGTTGACTTCCTCTTCCGTTCATGCATATCGGTGGAGTCTCACGTGAAGCAATTCTTTTTTATATTGCCGATACTCGCCGGGTTTTCGCTCTTCCGTTTTGCGGCTGACCCGAAACCGCCGACCATCGGTGAAAACGGCATCTGGGGCGAAATTTACCCCCTTACTAGCAATATACCGAGTAATTCCAATAGAAATCCCTCAATACCAAATAGAATCTAACCTAACTCGGCTTTCGGTATGCGTAGCTCGGCTTCTGCTGTTTTGATATGTTCCAGATCTTCTATATGCTTGATGGCCTCCTGGGTTGAACATATTTACGGACCCGTCATGGCCTCTTGGGCTTTCACTTGTGCGTCCCAGGAATGGCTAAAGCTCTTCATCAACCATTCATATGCCGCCCACTTTATCATATGTCAGTTGCTTGGTCGATCGTGATAGCAACACGGAGAAAACATACCTGAACGGCATTCACAATGAACGCTCTGACACTGCAGACTCCAAGGCCACGATAGAATGCCTTGATACCCTCGGCACGATATGTTTCTTTCGCAATATGGAAAGAGCTTAGCGTCTGGCGCTGTGGTCGTAGTAGAGATTGGCTTTCAGCTGCCCCGGGCGAATGGTCTGTAATTGTCTGTGCCTGCAGCCGTGTCTTGATCACATCCAAAGGAAACACCGAGCCCCAAGTAACGATGCCGGCAATGCCACCGCAAAGCAGAATCTTCACAGCAGCCTGGTGTGAGCCATCATCATCAGAGGTCACAAATCGCTTGCAAAGTTCGTAGGACCAGAAACTGCGCTACGTTAGCACAAAATCCTTCAATTGATACACTGGGGTATCCGGGGGTGGCGTGTTAGTTTCATACTAGAATCCATAGCCAATTGAATCTCTGGCGCTAGTAATCCCGCCCCCAAAGTATAAACCCCTCCAACCGCGCGTTCGGAAGATATCCTTGGCGACCGCCCATGAGGAGACTTCTGGCCGGCGATCCAGCTGCGCCCGACACTTGATGAACTCCGTTGGAGATGAGATGGTCCAGCTAGCCAGTCCGCCTGCGGCGCCCGCCAGCCAAATCTTGTAAGGCGAGACCCGAATGGGATTGGTGGGATCCGCCACGGACCCGTCCAATGCTGCTAAGGATCGGTTGTATGCAACAAAGAGAATAGCATTGAGAGCCCCATAGCCTAAGATCGGAGCAGCCGCGCCTATTAACCATGGTAAATTGATTGTTATTGGTGTCGCTGAATCGGTGTAACACGGACCTCGAACAAGAGAGCTTGCTTTTTCCAAGCGGCTCAGATGCGCAGATGATGCATCTGCATGTGAGTTCCCCGCTTGCAGCCGGACTTTGATGACATCGAGGGGATTGCCAATGATAATTCCAATGGCTCCGCTGATGTAGCCAGCCCAGAAGTCTGCGGCCATGAGATCTCAGCTCTAAGGGCCAAATTGAAGATAATTGACACAAACGTCAATGATTCAATGCTCCCCAGATTTCCATAGTGGGGTGACCCCTCACGTGCCCGGAGCGCGAGTGATTACCAGCAGGGCTCCCCGGGGCGGCCCGAGGCAGATGGAGTTTATCCTGAAGGTAATTGCCTGTAGCCTTATGATGCAAGTCCTTAATGCACTTTGCTTTTGCCTTCATGTGGGCGTTTTTTCGTTTCCTACACTTTCGTGTGACAGTGGTTTATGACATCATCATACCTGGAATAAGCCTTGAGATAGGCAGGAGAGACAAACTTCAATGTTCACTTCTTATATTGCGTAGAGCATGTGTGCTAGATCATTTCGTTTACGAAATTTTCCTCATGTTTATAGGAAAGAAATGTGTGCACCTAGAGAGAGGCGTTTAGTAAGTCCTCCGTAGTCCCAAGGTTCCAACCTTGGAAGGTTGGCAGATAACTCGTTGCCGAAAAACTTCTGACAATAGAATATGAGCTATTCTAAGGCTTTTACATCACTTCTTCTATACAGCCTCTAATTAGATTCTAAAAATTATAGGGTCTTGAGAAAAGAATATTGTTCCCTGAGCTAACTCACGGTTGATACATGAATGTTTCCTGTTTATGCGCCTATTGATCGCATTTAGAAATTGGCGTCGGCTATAGTTTACTATATGGCTTTATATTATAGCTACAAAGTATCGTTTATAACGGTGCCAGATAATAAAGCAGATGTTATGTAGCTTCACGTTGCTACCTAGGTATGTATACACAGATGACGAACTAGGAGTCTTGTCACTTCGAACCTGCCTTGATATAGATAAGTGGACTCGGTGAGAATGGCTTGATAGGAGTTAGGAGCGCGGGTTGACATGTATTTGGAGATAGAATGTATATGGAAGTACTAGACATCAAATTGAAATTCCTGTGCACTAAGACCAAGCCAAATGCGAAGCTCCTCCAAGGCATCCAGGTCATTCTCAGGAAGAGATTGCTGTATCTTTCCATCGTACCATTCGTAAGTACGGCCGACACCTTGTAGGCTTTCTCCAATTTTCCGGCAAGATCCAACATCGATGATAATTGCTTTATCATCAGCGACCATTATGTTGCTCGGATTGAGGTCGTTATGAACCAACCCTAACGAGTGAAGATGGCGGAGGCCACTTTCGATGTCCGTGAGAACACGGCTATAGTCCTCCCTCACTTCCCGCTTGTTTCTTAGTGCTCTCTTCGTGAGGGCGCCTGGGTTGACCTCTTCCATAAGCGTGCGAGGGTACTTCTTAAGACAAAGGCCCGTGATTCTACCGTCAGAAACTTGGCAACCGAGATACTAGCAATGCTAGGATATGGGTGCCGTATTAATGGTCCGTAAATCCTTGCTTCCAAGAGGACGTCCTCTGCAATCGAATTCGGGTGAGGTCCTTCACTGATCAAATCGTAACTAAGCAATCGAGGCTTTTTGACATAACAACTGTTGGGCAGCGTTTCAGGCGCTGGCGTAAATTCGATAGAAAATTTGGGATTATAGGCCGAGGTAAGAATTTGCTTGACATTTATAATGTCCTCTGCATTGATATTCGAAGGCGAGTAGCGACCTTTCAGCTTCCCGTGGTACAAAAGGCCCTTCACCCGATACACAACAAGAGTGCCTGCCAACTGAAAGCCTTCATCTGAGGCTTCGAAGCGGTCCTCTCCAGTAACTCTAGTGGCTGATTAGGAATTGGCGGAGTCCGCATGCTTAAATGCAGTGCCAATCGTTGAGATATATCAAGGGCAGATAACTCACCTCGTTTTCATGCGCGGGAAAAAGGCGAATTATTATTTGGAATGGATGTGGAAAGGTAGACACGCAACGAGGTGCCCCTTTAAAGGTGGGCAAGAGTACTGCGTCAAGGTATACACATGTAGGTATGCCCAACCTATATGCTAATAATTAATAGGTCCTACCATCGCTGGAAAATGGCGGTCTATCCCCTGGTCCCGTTAGCCGATTTGACTTAGTCCGACCTTCTAAAAATCTAAGGAGGACAGGTATAGAGGACAATGTTAGGATAGTCTAAAAGGGTTATACCGGTTCACTTGGAACCGTTTAAGGGTTGAGCACGTTAGAAGTGATAAAAACTTCCTAAACTCTCCGAACCCTATTTGCATTATTCATATCGGAGCCTCACGCGAATCAGCCTTTTTGATCAACTTCACCAAACCGCTTCCTAATTTGATCCTTATATTCTGCCTCTTGCTCCACCTTCGTTTGGATGAATGCTTCGGCCCCTACAGACCAGTATGGACTGACAGTCCGGTCAAACACTCGCTGGGTGCAATGCTCCTCACAGAACATGCGTTGGATATGCTGATTGAATACCCGAAGGAGACGTTTCGGGCTATTGACAGCTGGAAGGCACCAGAAGCTACCTCTGTCCCAGCATTTCCGCATGATCTCGGCCTGAGAAGCATCGGGAGTGTCCATACGTTTTTCCTGTTCTTCAAAGGCATCTATAAATTCATTCATGACTTTTTCGAAAGTTTCGAGATGTCCTCCGTGTTCAATATCATCAATACGTCGACCAGTCGACCAATAAGGCGGTGTTTGTAACTCAATGGGAGAAGAGCATGCCCATTCCAAGTCAACCAAGGACGTAATATGCCAATTTTCATCAACGAATATATTACTTGCGTGGAGATCCGTAAGCGTAAGCACAAATGGCCCATCACGATATTGACGGGAAATGAATTGAGGCAAGAGACCACGCATCATGGTTAAAGCCGCGAATTGTTCCTGGCCGTCCTTCAGATTATGAATAGCATTTGGCTGATAATGAATGCGATCGTCATGGAGCTGCAAAAGCTCCAAAACATAGGGCTCCACAGAATGGTACGTAGAATTCCTTGGTATCGTGGGGATACCTTCATTTTCGAATGTTTGGAGTCGTAGCATTAAGCGTCGACTTTTCAACTCAATTAGGCCATTGCCATCCAAAGTCAAAGATCGAACTCGCGGTAATTTGACGCGATTAAGTGAAAGCATGATCTTCGCAAGATCACCGAGAAGCGTCTGCCTTCCTGTCTTGTCGCTCAGGAGGTGATCTTCCCATGTATTGGAGAGCATTTGACCGTTCTTCACGAAACTGATCATTGTGTATCCAGTTTTCAGCACATTTCTGTCCCTAGTACCGATATATGGGCGGGCTTTGGGGAGCCCAAACCATGATCGCATGGTTTGCATGATGCGCCAATGCCACCGAGAAGAAAATCCATGCAGCACTCCTCAGCAAACTGAGCAAACAAGGCTAGTCTTCCGAGTTAGAAGAAGAGTATACGCTCAGATACAGTGTGCCCATCGGGAAATGCAAACCCATAGAGAGTGGGAATTGGAACGGCGGGGCAATTTTCACGTATCCAAATGTATGTGGCGACTTCGCAGCGCGACTTTTCATCGACGTTTCCTGGGATGTTCTCTTCTCCGACTTTGTATGGTAGCGGTTTCGAATAAGGACACACTCCTCCGACGGCAGGTTGATATAGACTGGAATGCAGACATTGTAACTCCCACATAACCACTCAGCTTGGTCGGCTACTTGACAATGTTTTACACGAAGATGGAATAAAACCACTAATTCAATCTCACTTGTATGTGCAAGGAGGTATGACCAGAATTCCTCCTGCTTTTGCGGATAGTCCAAGCGGTGCAGCATGTTGTCATCGTCAGTCAGGGCGTCTTCCAAGGAAATACTGTTTCCTCTAAGCAAAGGAAGGGTCTTCATCATGATAATTGGTTCCAACTATCGCAATAAATACAGATATCCCAAGACATATAGGGAAACAGCCTTGAGGTTATGTATATTCCCTTGGAAGGTTGTTCTTCAGATGCATATACAGAATACACGTGACTTCCTAAAAATAACGCCCCACATGAAGCTCAGACCACCTACCACATTGGGCGGTCAGTTATTGTGGGACGCGGCAGTTTGGTGTTTTGGGAGCCTCAGGGTAACGCGCGACGCGTCGACAGCTCGCACTTGCCTCAACTTTGGGATCATTGTACAGCAGGAGCTTGGTGTATTTGTTTCATATATTTTTAGACCAATGTAAGTCCTCAACCTAAGCGTTTTCAACTTTCTATGCTGACATGCCTGGAAGGTATCGACAACGCCCGGCCGGTGGCGACAATAGCGTCAAGACCCCGTTACAACCGAAATCCGTGAACTCCCAGAACTCGATCGACCGACTTGTAAGACCATTCAAATGTCCCGGGACCGCAACACCCACTCGAGCGTCCGAAAAACCATCAAGAAAGAGAAGAAAGGTCAACTACGCCAACGCCGACGGAAGCGTGGAAGATGGAGAGGAGAAGCCATACACGAATGATGACAGGCTCGCTTTGGAAACAAGAGAGGCCAACAAATTTCCCGCGTACAAACCAAAGGACAAAGATGTGGCGTTCAGATCACGATTTCAGGTTCCGTTCATCAATAAAGCCACCGGCGAGTACAGTTCCGGCCGGGTGGCTCCGACATTGGGGATGCGACGAGGTGCGACATTTGTGGTCAAGCCACTACATGACCCTAGTGGGGAATTTGCTATTGTTCTATACGACCCTACAGTAGACGACGTTGCCGAGGAACCTGCGCCCCCAAACCCAGAGGCACCCGCGGAGGATACACCAAAGTTGGATGAGCCAATTATGCATAAGAGTCTAGCAGACATTCTGGGGCTCAAGAAGAATGTGGAAGACAGGCCAAAGGTGCCTGTTGTGATTGATCCGAGATTGTGCAAAGTGCTTCGACCACATCAGGTCGAGGGTGTGAAGGTATAGCGCCCCGAGACAAGCTGTGCCATGGAGAAAAGCTGACGCCGCACTTGCGTATAGTTCCTTTATCGATGTGTTACTGGGCTAGTTGACAAGAATGCAAATGGGTGCATCATGGCAGACGGCATGGGACTTGGTAAAACAGTGAGCTTGGCCAACCCGACCTTCATACCTTGATTCTAACGAACGCAGCTTCAATGCATCGCATTGATGTGGACGCTACTCAAGCAGTCCTCAGAAGCCGGAAAAACTACCATTCAGAAATGTGTGATTGCATGTCCGTCGAGTTTGGTTGGCAATTGGGCCAACGAACTGGGTGAGTTATGCATGGTACCTTACTTGTTAGCTCGACTGACCATATCAGTAAAATGGCTTGGAAAGGACGCCACCACACCTTTTGCGATCGATGGAAAGGCCACGAAAGCAGAGTTAATAACCCAGATCAAGCAATGGGCCATTGCATCTGGGCGTGGAATCGTCAGGCCCGTCCTTATCGTGTCCTACGAGACACTCCGTATGTATGCGGATACTTTGAATGACACCCCGATCGGACTTCTTCTATGTGACGAAGGTCATCGATTAAAAAACAAGGAAAGCTTGACCTGGACTGCTTTGAATCAACTCAATGTTACTCGCCGAGTTATTCTCTCTGGAACACCTATCCAGAATGATCTGTCCGAGTACTTCGCTCTTCTTCACTTCGCGAACCCGAATCTTCTCGGCTCCCAAGCTGAGTTCAGGAAGAGATTCGAACTACCGATTCTGCGGGGTCGGGATGCTGCAGGCACAGACGCAGAAAAGAAGCTGGGTGATGAACGATTGCAGGAGCTCTCTGGCATTGTCAATAAGTTCATTATACGCCGAACCAACGAGCTTCTCTCAAAATACTTGCCCATCAAGTATGAGCATGTTGTGTTCTGTAACATGTCAGAGTTCCAGCGCGGTCTGTATAACCATTTCATCAAGAGTCCAGAGATTCAAAGCCTTCTTCGCGGAAAAGGCAGTCAGCCGCTGAAAGCAATAGGTATTTTGAAAAAGCTTTGCAATCATCCGGATCTGCTTGATCTAGCGAACGACCTTCCAGGATGCGAGCACACCTTCCCTGAGGATTATTCACCCCCCGATTCTCGGGGTCGTGATAGGGACATCAAGAGTTGGTACTCTGGTAAAATGATGGTGCTCGACCGCATGCTAGCCCGAATCCGACAAGACACCAACGACAAAATCGTCCTCATCAGCAATTACACTCAGACTCTAGATCTTTTCGAAAAGCTCTGCCGGTCGCGGGGTTACGGTTCCTTGCGCCTCGACGGTACCATGAACATCAAGAAGCGCACAAAGCTAGTCGACACATTCAATAACCCAGACGGTCAGGAATTTGTATTCCTCCTGAGTAGCAAGGCTGGCGGGTGCGGACTGAATCTGATCGGCGCCAACCGGCTGGTTCTATTTGATCCAGATTGGAACCCAGCCGCTGACCAGCAAGCGCTAGCACGAGTGTGGCGAGACGGACAGAAGAAAGATTGTTTCGTCTACCGGTTCATTGCAACAGGCTCGATCGAAGAGAAGATCTTCCAGCGCCAGTCCCACAAACAGTCCCTCTCATCGTGTGTCGTGGACTCCGCGGAAGATGTCGAGCGTCATTTCTCCCTCGACTCCCTGCGAGAACTCTTCCAGTTCAAGCCAGATACTCGGAGTGATACGCATGATACCTTCAAGTGCAAACGGTGTCGGCCCGACGGCTCGCAATATATCAAGGCACCCGCTATGCTGTATGGCGATACTAGTTCGTGGAACCATTTTGTCAATACCGGCGAGAAGGGCCCGCTCAATCAAATCCAGGATCTGCTTCTTCGTCAAGAGACTGGGGAAAAGGATGTTTCGGCTATTTTCCAGTACATTAGTCACTGATACACTTATTTGGCATACTTGAGCAGGTTCGAGGTTTACTACAGTATTGGGCCGGATTGTATGTTTTGGAGCGTATTCATTTGGGAAGCGAACAATTATGACCATAGAACGAATTCAATCCTGTTGCTTTGCCCTTGTACCAGGAAGAACTATATGTTGCCGAAAATAAGAGCTATGAGTACCAAACTCAGAGATAATCAAACTACCGAGGCGTCAAGTCAATAAGACTATCGGTACCTATTCACAGACGATAACTATTGACAGATGAAGGTCTCGGGTATTATCACAACGAAACGATCCAGCTAAGTACAAGACACAAAAAGAAAGGTCTATGCAGGAGCCAAGTTCCAGCGCTAGCCACCTATGTAACTATTTCTTGGACTTCCGTCCTCCAATACCCAGCCGCCCCAAATTAGGAAGACCCGACTTGTGTTTATGAGAAGACGATGCACCCTTCGCCGCACTGTCCAATGCACGCCCAGCAGCTGTGCCACTGACACCAGGCCCAGGGCCTCCCAGCCCGGCATTTCCAGCAGCAGCGTTACTAGGGCCCGGAGCACCGCGTGGAGCATCGGGTAGACTAGATCGGTCCTTGGGACGGTCTGCAGCGGCGACGGAGAGAGCAGCTGTAAGAGAGGGGTTGTTCAGGGGGCCGGACTGGTCGAAGGACTGGCGAGTGGAGCCCTGGGATCGACGGGCTCGTTCCTGGACTGACTTGAACTTGTCGAGGAGTTCGACCCAGCGGATGGAGTTCTCGTCGCGGGGTTTCAGGCGGGTGCCTGTGGAACGGTCGAAAGATGGGGCCGTTTGGGCAGTGCTAGGGAAGTTTGTCTCAGTAAACCTTGGGGTAGAATGCGGGGGGCAGGGGCCATACCTGCGGGGTCCGCCGTGGAGGAAACCAATGTTGCTGACGCTGTTTAGACGGTTCTTGAGGGCGGCGAAGGCGGAACTCTGGGGGAGGAGCATGAGGACGCCGTAGAGACACTTGTAGAGGAAGGGGTATTTTTCAGGTTCAAGGAGTTGGAGGCGGAGATCTATTGGGATTAGCTTCTTGGACTGGAGTTGTGTTGATGGAGAGAAACGGACATGTGAATACTGGTGACTCTAGTAGTTGCACCAGTTTGTCAATTTGGATTAGCATATTAACTGTCATTTCCAATTCAGCACTGTGGATGGACTTGTCAGCAGACTATTGTGGTGGATGGAGCTGATATACTGACAAGATCTGGAGGAGATTGTATGCCTGCTCATAGGCCTGGGCAAGAAGACAGAGTGAAAATGTAGAGACAGCGTTGTGGCACCACGATCTGAAAAGCCCAACGAAGAACATTTGACCATCCTAAATGTTTCATTAATCTCAAGAATGCAAGATAAGGTGTCCGGGGGTATTACTTTCGAATCAAGATTTCTTAAGCGCTTTCTCAATTCCGAGAGCTCGGGCGCAGTTATGAGGTTGTTGTTCAGGTTCTGGACCATGATACTGGCAAACTCAAGATCCTGATGATAGATTAGCATAGAATACCCAAAGCATGCAGTGAACATTACCTCTTCCTTCTCGAGGCAATCTGCCAAAGTCCGATAGATACGCTCCGGGCTCAGGTTCATAGAAAGCTGCCTGATGATCAGATTCCCGCGCACTTCGAGTAAATGTCTGTCCGTAGAGTAAAGCTGCAGCAAGTTGACCATGAAAGACGTAAAATAGCTATCCTCGCTGTTTCTTGAGATCTGTGAAAGGAGCTGTAGATCTTTGGTTACAACCGCCTCTGAAGGGTCGGATAGCGTCTTTAGCAAAGCTGGGAAGGTACCGTCGTTGAAAGCGACAACCTTCCGCGGGGCTTTACGGTGGAGCATGATGAGCCATACAAGGGCCGCAACTCTAGTGGCTTCATTTTCATTAAGGAATTGTAGAGTGAGGGAGTTGACAGCAGCAGCGTAATCAAGGTCAGCAGGAGGCAGCGGGGTGGAAACAACGCTACTACGTGGTGTAGCCGCAATGGAATCCCCTTGTGCTGGTTGTTTCTTTGTGTCAATGCTCGCTGTCTCTGAAGGCTTGACTCCTGGAGTCGTTGATCTTCCCTCTATGGTTTCTTTGCTGGCCGTAGTGGAAGGGATTTTCGACGATGGCACCTGCGCTTCCTCGGTCGTGTCATCTGATAAGGAGTAGATGTATTGGACAAGGGAGGTATTGACTTGGTTCGCTGCTTTTCGTACTTGATCCGAGCCACTGGACATGGCTGGGAGTACCTGGGTCAACAGCCGCGGAACGAAAGGAAGAATATCTTCAGGGCTGATTTCGAAAAAGGAATCAAGCCAACGAAGGGCCGTCAATTGCATTTCCTCCTCTAAATGGACGTAAGCATATTAGAATCAGAAAGATAAAGTCACTCTTACCACAGGAAGTGTTGACAAAGCCGACAAGAATACGAAGAATCTTGGGATAGTCAATTTGCACGTCTTGTCCTGGGATCCAATCTCCATCGGCCTGAGCGATTTCGTCATCGAGGGTCGTATCTGAGACCGAGTCTGCGACAGCAACGTCGAACCTGTCGTCACTGGCACCATCGGTCGAGGCATTTTGCTCCGGCGCGTTGCTCATCGCATCGCTGGCGACGGACTGTCTGTTGCTTTTCTGACCCTTCCGGCTTTCTTCAATCCCCTTTTTAAGTCGGGTGATCCTTTTGATCTCCGACAAGAACCGATCAAGCAAACCCTGGGTTGCAATATTCACGTCTTTGTTAGGTCCGCCCAGGAACTTGATCAACCCCTCTAGGAACTCTGGCAAATAGCTCACGAGCTCTAGATCAGGGATTGTATCTAGAAGGGTAAGCCACGAGACCAGAAAGGTGCGAGTGAACGGTTGGATCACATGAATCCGATCTTTAAGCAAAGGAATGAATCTTGCGAGAGAGAACGCCATGGGAAGTTCGTGGTCTTCCTGATTCTCCAGCTCTGTAGTCTCCTTTTCAGAGAGCTGTAGAATCGACACATACGAGGCCGCCGATTCAGCCACAATATCTTTCACCAGGCGATCCAGAAGCTCCGCGCCGTTCTTGACTGATAGCTCCGAATCGGACGCAAGCTATATTGCATGTCAGCGTATACGATACCCCACTGGAACTATCGACACCTCTCACCTTAGCCAGCGCGTCGAAGACCTCATTGAAGAACAACAGTATCTCTCCCTTAGCCACTTTGGCTATGTTGTACATGCTCTCACATGCGTAGTACCGCACTCGCGCATCTTGGTCGGAGAAGCAGGCGAGCACAGGCGGCACAATTTCACCCAAGTACGGTGCGACTCCTTCCTGTATCCCAGATATCAGCCGAGATGTCCTCCAAGTCGTTGGTTATAGCCACCACTCACCGATCCTAGTGCAATCGAGGCAGCAGCCAATCCGATCAGGCCTCCATTCCGGGCGTGGGGCTGGTGCACGGCGTATGCATAGTCATGGCAAAGCTGTTCAACGATTTTTTGTATTTTCTCCTGCTCTCCTTGGAAAACAGCGTCGCGGACAATTTTCTCGAGCCTAGTGCAAATAAACAGCGATCAGTAGGAGTTGTGTCAAGTGCGGAGCGATGAAACCGAGTTGGCATACTCCAGAGCTCCCTGCTTCCTCCTGTCGTAGAGCTTGTCATTCAATAACCGCTGGATTGCTTGATCCATCGCTCAAAGCAGCCTATGCTGCAACCTATCCCCAGTTATGGTCGGCTAAGCACTGCTCATGGTGAACGGAAGGTATCTCAGCGCGTTGGGTGTCGCGAGACGGTCAGGAGCTTGAAAGTCGAGTGTGAGTGGTAGATCTGAGGATAAGTCGCGCAGATAGGAAAACCCAGATCGTCTGGGGACTTTTCGACCGTAATCACAAGTAAAAATGCAACGACAGGATGAGGGAGATGCGTTGGCAGTGTGGAGATGGAGAGACCAGAGCGGTGGTATGACGTAAGGTCCGCGGACAGGAGCCTTACCGCCTTAGGCCTGAAGATAAATCGAGTACACCTGCAGGTGGTTCCTAATCTGTAAAGATTCTATGGACTTAATGCTTTTGTATATATAGCATTATCTTTAGGTGCTGTCCGCGTGGCCATCCATCCTTGAGCAAGATGAAAGAAACCCACGAACAAAGAACCGAAACCGACCTTCGAAACATGGTCTTGACTGCTTGGACTGCCTTCTTTTAGATGTATATAAAGGCAGTGAAAAGCATGAGCCGTATACACATCTCAAGTGATATCTAAAAGAACATCAAAAAACAGAGCGGAGTTCCTAATATCATCTTGGGCCAAATAGATCGGGCTATCAAAGTCTTACGTCGTCAAGGACCGAGGCCACATGAGCACCTGGGCAGCCGACTACTCTTGTACAGAGTGTTTGAATAAAGAAACCTCACAAATAAATGCCTTCAATCTCAGATGTTGAGTATGAGCATCCAAGCCCAAGTAGACGAAGACTATGAAACAAGACAAAGACGAGAAGCATACATGACCAAGCAGGCATATTGCAGGAGATATCAAAATCGAAAGAGAGAAAGCAGAAAGCAGATCCCGACTTTTCCAACATGGTTTCCCGCTGACACATAGAATCATAAGGAAGTAAACAATCCCAGAAAAGAAAAAAAAAGAAACAGACATGGTGTGTGACTGTACAAGAATTCATCGAGACTCGCGGAAGCATCACGCAAAGGTATAAAACAGAAGAAAAGGTCTTCAGAAAAGAGAGAAAAAGGGTGAAAATGCTAAAGACAAGTAGAAGGAAAAGAATGGCGCCGATAACAACAAATAATCGCTCAGGCATGTCGACTTGAAATGTCCATCACTATCGCGATGACTGGCTGCCCCATCCTGATGGGCGCCAGCTGCCAGTGGAGTGTTTGGAGACGGTACTAGTAGGCGAGCTTGCGCCCGAGTAGACATATTCGCCGTCGACGTATTGGGCACCCGTGGAGAAGGTGCTGCGGTGCTTGCGGCGGGCATAGCGCTGTTCAAGGCGGTAGAGCTCGAGTTCTGCTTCGATATTAGTTATCTTTCCCAGTATTTCAAGGTCGCATTGCAATTCCGCATTTCGCGGGTCGTGAAACGTACTGGCTTGTAGCTTATCGATGAGACCCATTGTGATGAAATACAGTGATGGATATTCTCAAGAGTCGGGGTCTAGAAACTTGGAGAGAATGCTAGATGCTATGTGCCGGATATAGAAGACGACGATCCCACGTGGAATGTGGAACGTAACGCGAGCGGAGCTGTGGAGGAGAAATTGACGTTTCTGTGCAGAACCATGGATCAGTCCCTGATGATCAAGCTTGACATCCAATGTCCTATGCCTTGATATAAATACCAACATATGTAGGTAAGAGGCTGGGCTTACTTGATAACGATAGTGGTTTCAGTAAGCGCTGGTCTAAAAGCTGAGACTTAAGATATGCAGGAGTGTCCAGGGAGGTGCAGGGTCTGAAATGGATAATTGGACTAGCGGGATAGTGGGGGTTAAAGAACGTAGAGATTTAGATCGATTGAATGAGAGTAAAGAGGATACAATTCCCCAGAAGTCATAAAGAGTGCAGAGAAGAAGAGAATCCTTGCAGAAAAGAAAAGGGGGGTGTGGGGGACTCGACTAAATTAGCGCCTCAATATCCGGAGAGGCTAAGACAATGCGTATGTGTTTCATCTATACGTCTTATTATTCTAGTTCTTGATTTCTTTATAATTACTCCGTAGTAGAATATGGAATAGCTAGAATTGAATCCAGATAGTACAATATATGCTCTGTACCTTCACCATCTCATTTGAGGAATATTTCTTTTTATAGAGACCACGCGACAACTGGTGGACGTTCTCGATGTTCTATTCGCACAGACCGGTCGACCCGCTATATATTAATCACGCATTTAGACTTGCATCTGAGTGGGATATGGGCATTTCCAAGGTTGTTATCTTAGTAAATTGTATACTCCGTACACGGGTGCTTTGTGGCATTTCCTGATCTTTCCCACTCCGTACTCCGTGTGGAATACTACAACGTGGTGGATATGTCTGTGCTGTAGGCACAATTATGGGAAGCCCTATTTGGAAACCGATGATTTTACTATTGGATTAATTAGCTCAGACTATTCCAATAAACATAAATATAATGTGGAGAAACACGTACACCATTCAGAAGAGCTCCTTGGCGCCAAGGAACATACCCTATTATCTGTTTGGTGTGCGATTGCTTGGACGAATTTCCCAATCCGTCCATGTAAGGCCTCGCGGTTCAAAGTTACAAACAAAGTCAAGGCGACCGATTTTAGAGTCAACCGAGTTCATTTGACCACTTTCCAATCCCGACCTGCTAGTTTCATATTGTATACATACTCTTCTTATCAAACAGTCGCTTTGCGGAGCTTTGCAAAGTTTTTCATACATGGTATCCGTATGGTGTGCCGTTTATCGCCGTCTAATGATACTCTCTTCGGTCGACATGATCCACACAGAAGAGACAATTCCAACATTAGCAGGCTTAATTCCATCGATTCACAAACTTGATAACCTTTCCTGCGGTAGCACTCCGTTCGAACCCTCCAAGACCATCCAGAAACACAATTCGGAAGAGATGTTCATTCTCGGGGAATACGAGAAAGAAAGCCTCCAAGCGTTTGATAAGAGCGTCATCCGATAAAATGCCATCCCGGGGCGGGGACCGAAGCAACCGGATCTCCAGCGTCGCCTGCGGTGAACTCTCCAATCGGCCCAGAAGGATCTGCCACTGCAGAATACCACAATCTTCCGCCTGCATGAAGGCGTCAATCCTATCAAACTCGAAATAACAGGCATACCACTTGAAGCTGAAGCGATGGTCGCGGCCGTGCATGCGCAACACACGTAGATGGCCCCAGTCAGCCTCGGGGATTACAGCACAGGCTGCGTCCGGGAGTGGGTGGATGGAGCCGATATCACCAGTGATGTAGCGCACCAGCGGATTGCGCAGTCGTTGGAGGGAGGTCTGCACGATGAGACCTTCTTCTCCCTGAGAGAGCAGGATCGGATCAGGGGAAGATGCGCCAACGATGACAGAGGGAGAAACGATCTCGACTAGCATGTTACGTGTGTCGATGACGAAGTCCGTGCTGTTGCTGGTCAAGCTCTGCTCCCCTGTCAGATCCGGGCTGCTGATTGCCCAGGGACCCGCCTCGGCACTTCCTAGGACGGAAATTATCTTGACCTCGCCAAGAATCGTCTTGATGAACGCTCGCTGGGGACCGGTTAAGGGCTCGGAGGTGTATATGATCTTGTCGAGACGGACGCGATCACGGTCCTCCTGTGCCATGAGGGAGATATGATAGACAGTTTGGACGACCTGGCTGCCATCGCCTGTTAGAATGTTGACATGGTAGTCGGCCAATGACTTAGCAACGTCCGCAACTGGCATGTAGCTTCCGGCGCTGAGAACGGTGGCTCCAGCGTTCTCCATGATTTCCGTCATAAGATCGAGGGACCTTGTCTCTTAGTTAGGATATATGCGCCATCTCATGTCAATTCGTGTCCAAATACCTGTAAAACCCTCCGGCTAAATGAGTGGATAGGACCCAATCTCCGGGTTGAATGACGCCGCACAGTTTGAGAAATTCCCCCATTTGCGACCTCTGTCGACGGTTCTCGTGCACATCCACGGCAAACATCATGGGCACCCCGCCAGAGCCACCACCAGTAATGCTCACGTAGGAGCTTTGTCGATAGGCGTTCCGCGGGTCCACATCATGTGTAAGTCGTTCAATGGCCTTGTACCTGAAGTAAATTAGCCTAGCTATAGTGAAAGGTCTGCCGGCATTGCCGTACAGCGTTTTCTTCTCAAGAAGTGGCTGCTCTTGAAGTTCAGGATTTTCCTTTTGGGCAGTGACCGCCTTCCGAAGACTCCGGATCGTTTCTGTGTCGGCGGGGTATGCAATGGCCGGGTTGTAAAAAGGGTGCGTCTTAGCGACAGCTAGCACCTCTGCCAATGAGTAACATTCCATTGTCATTGTGCGAAAATCAGCCATGGCTAACCTCGATCGAAGGCAGAAAAACGCTATAGAGTGAATTCGGCCGATATGTTTAACTGTGATTGGGGAAGGCTCCGGATAGTTGAATTTGATGGGTTATACCAGGATACCCGTGAACGGGCAGAGAAAAAGAAAAGAATTGAGACAGAGAGAAAAGGAAATTGACTCCGTACTCCGTACAGAGTAGCTGAACTACGGAGTGGCTGCCACTAAATGTAATTTATACATGCATGGATATATTGATTGATGTTGGACAATGTAGATTAGATTGACCAGCTGAATGTGCAGCTGCAGGGCTGCAGGTGTTCCACAAGGTGACTAGTGGCGCATGTGCGAGACACATCGAAACACTGAATTTAGGCCAAAGAAAGACCTACATGTGTACATATATAGGTAGTAGAACTATCGTAATTTAAATCATGCTACGATTCCGATACTTTGGAATTACACACGTGCCCACGGTACTTACATATTGTTGGCCGAAAACTGTATCTTGTATCTGCTATACAACAAACCCGAGTTCACCCACAAGTAGAAGATTCCTTTCCCAACAGGCAAACAAAAGTTTCCTAAACTATTCCCCTTCCTCAGAATGGAGCGCTTTGTCAGTGTCATTTGATCCTAAGAAGCACATTGCAAGAGCAGCGAGAAGGAGATATAAGAGACCTGTTACGGTTAGCGAAGCAGACCAGTGAGATTAAATGACTTACTCCAAGTCCAGCTCATATATTTATAGCCGACCATTTCCTTCAGCGAACCACCTATGATTGGGCCAATCATCATCCCGAAGGAAGCAGCAACGTCCAACATAGAGAATACGCGTGACATGCCTCCTTCCGAGCCAAAAATCGCTGGAGACTCTTCTTGAATTGCTTTAGCAGTGGCTAGAGTATATTTTCAGTGCCGTCATATCCATTTTTGGAAAGGCGTGACCTACCCGCCAGTTCGACAGGCGCGATACCAGACACAAATGGCCGGAATGTGCCTATAGCAATGATAGAGGCTATGTAAATCGGTTTGCCCATAGCCTGAGCGCTCGCCCAAGGAATGTCGCTACCAGCAGTACCCATTAGGCCAAGCATAATTGCCTGAAGAATGGAACAGACCACGGCAGGTCGTTGTGTTCCGATTCGATCACGGACCCAACCAGCGACGGGACCGATCAAGACACCCGGAACGACAAGGCCAGCAAAAAGGAGTCCAGTAGTACTAGGACCCCATCCAAAGTTCTCTTCAACATGAAGAGGAAGCGTCGCATGGAAACTCGTGCTCACAGTCGTGCCCGAGATTATAATCAGCAGACAAGTCAAAATACGACCATCGCATAGCATTATCCGCCAGAAACGCTCGTCTCTGAGAATTTGCTGCTCTTCACAAGAGGAAAGCAGACTCGCAGTCTCTGTTAGACTGTCGTGGGGCGTAGAGGAGGGAGGACTGGACAGACTCTCGATCATACATGCGCGTGCAATAAAATCTACGGTTAAAACCAGTAGCGGGATCGACCACGTTATCCAGTAACCAGTTGCCTCTAAAAGCAAGCCGGCGAGCGCCGGCCCGCTGATTGTTCCAGTATTTGCACAGGACATCATTAAGCTCATTGCGAAGCCTATATGGTTTGGACTGATAGTGTCTGCGACTGTTGCAAAGCCGACAATCCACACAGCAGACCCTGCAATGCCTTGCATCACGCGGCCTAACAGTAGTATAGGGACTGAACGAGCGCAGGCGACCATACACGTACCGACAATACACCATCCAAGAGATAATAGTAGTGTGGTCTTATGGCCTTTGCTCTTGTCGGCGAAATGACCGATAACCGGGCCGGAGATCACGGCCAGAGCACCATGGAGGGCAAGAACAGCGGAGGTTAACTCCTGAGCTTGAGATGGCTGGACATGCAGGCGGTTCTGAAGCATCTCTCCGAGGATTGGGACTAGAAAGCCATACAAGAACGTCTCTACTCGGTATTAGGGTGTCGTTTAGTTTGGGATTTTATTTGGGTAGACAGACCAGCAAACAACGCGATTGCGACGGTCGAGAGAATGAATCATTTGGAGGAACGCCAATTGTAGCCTATTGCTAAAGGCTTTTCAGGGACTTCGTTCATTTTATTGGGAAGGAGATGGTTGGAACAAAGAAAAAAGCGTCAACTCCGTATAGGAACACGTCTGGTTCAAGATGCTGAAGCAGACCGCAATTCCAGGGAGTATTTGCCGGTGTTTTCCCCTTTCCCTCTTTTTCTCTTCTGCTTTTGCATACATACATACATACGTACATATATATATGCATTCATTACGCCCTCCATACAACATATTCCCAGATGTCCCGAGTGGATCAGCTCAGCCGCACCCACAAGGGCCTCCCTGGATGGGATCGCCAGTCTCCTTTTCATTTTTCATTTTTCCTTTGCAGGGAAAGGATACAACATTTGAAGATATACCCATGCAAAAGAGCTGACATAGTACTACTCAATCTGCATGCCCGTCCTACAGCATTGTTCATTACAAATGCGTCTTATTTCCTGCATGACGGTCGAAAAATTGCTTCGCTCCACTCGCATGCTGCATTCTTCACCTCATAATCCCCTTCCTTGTTCTCGGTTATATTTGAAGCAGTTGCTATATGTAGTTGAAGCCCAGACTACCACTCTATGTCTTGTAGCCTTTCTATGTGTGGTGGTCGCGCAAAATGCATCGACTTTTCCGTGCTGTTCCTACAGCTAGAGTGACGGCTGCTAGCTATTCTACCCATCCAATCAGTATGTCTCGTCCGACGTTTTTCTTCTCTGATACTAACCATGAAAAGGAGATCTAAGAACTTCCAGTCTTGTGCCCCTAATCGAGGTTGCCAAACCCGCACTTGCCTCTGATGCCTCGCACCTGACAGACGTATATGAGACCCTTGAATCCAAAGGTGTGCTTCAAGTACAACTGGGGTTTGAAGACAAGAACAGCACATATCTGCAGAGCCTGATATCGAATCTCCACAAAAACCACAACCATGGTCTCCCAATTACCCACAGCGCCGAGCGTGGTTGGTTTTGGGATGTTCGGCCCTCTCCAGCGAGTTTCCAAAGCCATGGACACCAAGCTAGATCAGAGACTATGTTTCGGTTTGAATGGCATACCGACTGCAGCTATGAGGAGCAACCCCCACGCTTCTTTGCCCTTCAAGTCCTTCAGCCGGATCGCTGCGGTGGTGGGACGTTGTCTGCATTGAACGTCGATCGACTCCTCACCTTGCTTTCCCCTTTCGCGCGACGATGGCTCTCCAGCTATAATTACAAAATTACCGTCCCTCCGGAGTTCATCAAAACTGCGGGGAAACGGCACATCGTGGGCAATCTGCTCGCGGTGAACCCGGGGGGAAATCCCGGTAGTCAGCTGCGATTTCGCGAAGATATCACGGTTCCCTTGACTCCGAATGCTGGCAAAGCCCTGGATGAGCTGAAAGAAATTTTGTACGGTGGCGCCCGGGAAGAGACTCTCCATCTAACACCCCAGAGCCTCCCCCAAGGATCAATTATTATGATGGATAATCGCCGATGGCTACATTCACGCAATGAAGTCAAGGATCCCAAACGACATCTTCGGCGAGTGCGATGGGATGCGACGCCATTTGGACCCAACCCATGAACCCTGTCATTACTACTATTGTATTGTAATGTCGTATCTCAAACATGTAGTCTTGCAAATCAATGCCCCACCTCGTACATTACCTTACGTAAATACGTACGAAGACGCGTCTGGTCGAGATCCCATCGTATTTTGTGCATTGGTGCGGGCATGGAACATTATATGTTGTACGCAGGAAATAGGGATCGTCTGCAAGATCTGACCCGTTTCCCACATTAGTCTGTTGGATAGTTTAATTCCAGCAGGACTTCCATATATATCGCCTTCATATCCTCATTACCCACAAAATATCAACTCCGTACAAAATGAGAAACAAAAGTCTAGACACTCTTCATCTAATCAGCTTTCCAGATGCTGTGGACTACTCACCTATGTCACCAGAAGGGCTAGATGTTAACCTCGTAAGCCAAAACCGCCGCAGTTATATCTCAAAGCTGAGCAACTGCTCCTCTTCTTGGCCAGTCGGATCTTTGGATGCATCGTGTCCTTGCCCCGTGTTAACCACACAACGCCACGACGATGAATTGAGAAACTTGCACCTCGCCCTGAAATTCGCAATCGAGGATATCATCACGCGATGGTGGACAGATGAGGAAGCCCGGTTCCCTCTGCGCATGCCGTTGGAGCCAGAAGAGGAAGACCTATTGCGCGTGAGCCACCGTCCCTCCTACTGTAGCATTATGATATACTAAATGGTTGCTCTTGGAATAGTGGATCCACTCGAACCGACACCTGTTCCCACCATGGAATGAGCGACAAGGATCTTGGAGACCAGACTTTTTGGTGGAGAAAGATGAAGCTGGCATGGAGGGTTTTCGTATTTGCGAGATCAACGCGAGGTTCTGCTGGAATGGGTATATGCATTCCGGCTTTGGTCAGGACTCACTTTCGGCATTCAATCTTGCGTCGCGGGGTCTGACTCATGCTGTAGAAGCTGAAACGGTAAGCAGAGTGATAGAGATGTGACGGGCGAATTGAGGCAGATTGCTAATGGTTTTGAACTCTGAAGATTCTGGGTGGATTGTTGGAACTATTTGACAGCAAGTTTCCTTTGCATCTTGTCAAAGGCGAAGAACACGGGATTGATATCGCGATGTTTATCGAATTTGCTCATCAGAAACTTGGGATAAAGCCGCGACTCATAACTCCGGACACTCTGCGACTGATCCCAGATCCCTCCCAGTCTGGGAAAAGGGGATACAAGCTGTGCTGCCTTGCTGAACCGGATGCTGATGAAACAATCACAACCGAGTCCGGCGAGATAGTGGAAGAGATTCACCAAATTTCTCTCGAACTTCACCAGCGGGAGATCAATGCTCTTGATCCGGAGATGAAACGTCAGATCAGCTTGCGGTGTTTCAACGACATGCGAACTATCCTACTTGCTCATGACAAGAGAATGCTGGGACTCGTTCTTGAAGAACTCAACAATTTAGTCTTTAGGAATATCATCACTCCTAAACAGGCGGAATGGCTTGAGCGAGGCTTAGCTCACACGATTCTACCGGGCTCGACAGAATTGAAGGAATTTATCAAGAATTGCAAAGCCTCGAATGTGTTCCAAAACGACTACCTCCTGAAACCGATCAGGGGTGGGAAGGGAGCTGGTATCTTGTTTGGTGACGAGGTGGACCATTCCGACTGGCTAGCCCTGCTGGAGCCGATGCGGTGTCCGAGACTGCGACCTGGAAAGACCCTCTACGTTGTACAGCGTAAAGTTCACCAACCATACTATGACGTGCTCTTGGGATCGAAAGCCAAGTCTGAGCGATGCCATATGGTTGGGACCTATCATGCAGTCAACGGTCGCTATCTTGGACTAGGAGCCTGGCGATGTAGTCCCGGGAGATTATGTGCTATATCTAATGGGGCTACTTGGATGTGTTCAGTAAAGCAGCGTTCCTAGTTTTAGAAAATCAACCTTTAAGGTCTCTGTGGGATAAATAGCCATTGGTCGAATTAAGATTCTGGAGGCCGTTTGGAACGTAGGTACAATGACCGTTGAATCTACACACACATCTAATTGACCCATGAAGTTCACCATATCTTCCTCTGAAGGAGGCCTCATCATCCACCCGTCTTGGATAAGCTCGTATGAGTTGGCCCTCACTTCCGGATCCCAGGTTATCTTGCGCATGAATCTGAGAAACTGGTCTTTTTCCTCTCCGGGTGGTATTATAGTGACGTAGTCCTCGAAAGAGGCTCTGCGAATAGGGGGCTCGGACCCCCAGTTGCCTGAGATGGTCTCCTCCGAACATGAGATACCTTAATCAAGTTCCACACTCACCATTAACAACAAGCGGATCATTTAAATTTGAAGTCTTCCCCCGATGAACCAGTCAACCAGATTTCTAGATCTTTGAAAGCGTCAAGGTCATTCTTCTCAAGCGAAATCTGGACAGCAGGGTCGTGCCAATCGTGAGTTCTTTTCGCTCCAGTGACGCGCAAATCTTCCCCAATATACCGACAGCTATCGAAATCGATGAGAATAAGAGTGCCATCTTCGTCAAGCATAATGTTTGCGGGGTTGATATCGTTATGGACAATCCCAAGCCAGTGGAGGTGTTTGATAGCGGCCAAAATCCCGTCTAAACTAGTTTCCATATTCTCTCGCACTAGTTCGCGCGCGCTTGAAAGGAAAGCAACTTTGCCAATGTGTTGAGGATTAACCACTTCAAGTAGCGTAGACGTATATCGCTTAAAGCATAGCCCAGAGACTCTGCCGTGAGATTCTCTATATCCATAGTAGGTCGCAATGTTCGGATGAGGGTTCTTGCGAAGAATTTCACATGTTTCAACTTCGCGGGTGATTTGCTTTTCAAGATTTCCATCAATATATGAGAGGAGACTTGGTGTTTTTATATGGACAGCAGACCAAGTGGCGTTCACATCGGGGCCCCTGTCTTCTGTTGGGATTTGCTTGACTTCTTGGAGGTCTTCCAGCGTCTTCGGTGAGACTAATCGATTTGTCCATTTTCCAGAATATAATATACCATCTTGCTGAACAAAAACCTGGACATAGGAAAATGTCATTCTGCCATCCATCATTCTGAAGGCCTCGTTCCTTTGGATGACCTCCATCTTAATATGGGGTGTCAGTCTCGAGAGAAGAAGAAAATGGGAAAGGTCCTTGAAATATGCCCGAGGGGAATTCATGTGGGGTGTAGACGCCAGACCGCTATTGCAAGTCATGCCAATAGTAATCCACGATACATATGTACGCCCTAGTCACAAAGGGAAAAGAAATACGCGCTATTTTCCAAGACCATAACAAAAGCCAAGTTTCTTCTTTAGGCCCAGAGGGGCCATGTTCCATCCTGACAACAAGCACAGCTATCCCAAGGTTGGCCTGTCACAACAATTCATTTCATCTAAAATGGTATGAGAAACCGCTTCAAACTTTTCTTGAGGCAATGCGGAAATGCGAAGACGCGAAGACGAGGCAATCCAGAATGGACGGCTAATAGAAGGCCAGCGGTTATCTGGTCGGATGCGTGACAGTCGGCAGAGCGGAGACTTGGATTATGTACGCTGCAAGACACAATTTTGCCTTTGACGTGACATATTGGAAAAAGATTGATCAGCGATTCTTCGGACCGACCATATATGAAGACGACAATATTTTCAACGTATGGCGGAAGAGACTTCATCTCTTGGGACATGGAGAGAAGGAGCTCATGGAGGAATATGTGAATCTGAAGGTCAAAGAGAGGAAAACTTGGCGTCTCGTTTGGGACCCGGATGAGCACACCGTGGGGTGGATCAAGAGGATGAAGGAGCTAAAGAGGAAGAAGCGACTGGGGAGTGAGGCGAGGGAGAGGGAGGAGATGGAGAGGGAGGAGGAGATATATGCTGAATTACTGGCCTTGTTGACGGAATGGACTTGTTGAGGACTGTCAAGAATCATGCCTCGGGTGAGAGGCCTTACATATCACTCTCCCGTCCCTTCCGAATAGGCGCCTTAGTCCCTACCGCTTGATCTCGACGTAGATATCAATATCCAACGCCCATCCTTTACTAAGGGAGAGAATCATAGCCTGGGCCATGGCGAGGATGTTACTTTGGATTTGCCTTTGAGAAGCTAGGTCTATCCTCTATACTGTAGGGTCAAATGCGATCAGGGGTCGACCTGAATTCTCCGCCTGGTTCGTCTTCGAGGCGAA